TTTAACAAAGCTTTAAAAGACTTTCAACTAAAAATATAATAAAAATAGATATTACGATGCTTGATTATCGTAGAATAGGGAATATTGTACGTAAAATCTCGACTTTAATTAATTCAATTATTTATTAGAGATCTATCAAGTTATGTAGGTACCTATAGTTTAGGTACATATTAAAAATAATTTAAAGTATTTGTAGTAACTTCAATTGTCTACCAGTCGTAATTTATGGAGAATGTTTGTTAATATCCAGAAAAAAGTAAAAAAAATAAATAATATCAAGCAAAAAATAAGAAAACAATCACGTAAACAACGTATAGCTTACAATTTTTGTATTAAAGTAGCTGAGTCAGCGACTTCGTCTGCGTAGAATAATTATTTTAGGCATCAAGTCTGATTTTGCAAACTTCAACTCTATAAATTTATGCTTTTACCCAGGACATCAACCGTGTCCAGTTGTTCTTGCAAGTTAATCTTAAAAGATACACATATAGTACTTTTTTTAGGTCACTTTCAGGTATCTATGTTGAATAGTTTTCGCGGCGTACACAACGTAAACGCCCAGGAATTAATAATGTTTCACAGTTCCCGCTGTTTCTGCAATTTGGGAAACCCCCAATTTTATTTTGTTTGTGTATGCTAATATCTAAGCAACAGATTATTTCATTGTTTAAAATCAGCAGCGCCATCTCTCGTTAGTCGGTACGTCAAAGTGCATCAAACAGTGCTATATTATAAAGGAGCCGATTGCGCGTGATTTTGTATGAATGATAATATTCGCTTCGAAGAATTTTTTACTGCTGGCAACATTGCATACTAAATACGTGGATATGGCCAATTTGTGGGAACTTTTTAAATTCTTCGTAATTTGTAGCAAGTGAGTGCCGACACTCTTTTGAATTGATACTATAAAAGTTTGTTAAGTAGAACGATTAAATAAGTACTGTCTGTACCTTAAAGACTAGTAGACATTTAAACAAAACACTTTTAACAGCTTAAAAAGCCAAATGTATTAGCTATAGTGTATTATTTTATCTTGACAAAAGACCTCAAGAGATATGGCCGATTTCAAGCCATAGAGAACTAGTGATGCCCTTTTATAGAGCGTAGTCGTCGCCATAGATGACACAGGGTTAAAGAAATCCATTGTTTTTGGATGAAGACATCAATATTCAAAATCACTTATATGACGACATACTTTTATTTTTTTTTATGTCGTTATTAATTAATCCCATGTTTGTATTGCTTTTCGGCGATCGTGCATGAGTGGGACTATTTTTTATTGCCGTTGACATAGCTTTTGTTAAGTCCATGTCAAACTTTATTTAAATGTGTACTACTCGCGTTAACTACAGGCAATAAAAAAATATTATCATTCATTTTGGCATCTTCGAATCAAACGGAAGCTAACCTTTTACACACGTAAGACATAACTTGAATTTCTTTTTAACGGCCATTTTATTGACTCCAGGTGCGAGATTTTTATTACGAAACCCAATCGTTAAATAACTTAACAGTCGTTAACATCTCATTGTGTAAGATGTGATTAGATTTGTAATAGATTTTAATTCTCTCTATTTAGAGTGCTTTACGTCTTATTTTCATTTATGAAAATACAGTGAAAACTCTTTATAACGTACCTCAAAGGTTCGAGTTTTGTTTATCGGTATAGAGATCGAGATCGAGTAAGTATTTATAATGATAGGTATATTGTTAATTTTTACTCTTAATTATACGTAGTTAATTATACTTAAAAGTTAAAATGCGATTTTTTAGTTTCCGCAGCGCAGCGTTCCTTAAAGAATAATTTCCCCGATTTATCCACATTTCCCACAGTATCTTCGCTCCTAGTGGAGGTAGCGTGACGGCATATTACCTAGAGGTGGCCTCGATAAATGGTCTATCCAGCACAAAAATAATTTCAATTCGAACCAGTAGTTCCCGAGATTGGCGCGCTCCAACAAACAAACACTTCTGAAATTTTAGTATATATAATGTGACTGTGCCCAACAAAATCGAGCTCACATGATATGACGCACACCAATTAAGTGTGTGCATTGCGATGCAAGCCACATTTCCCCTTTATGCTGCCGACGGACGCTCCCTGCATTTACTTGAAGACAATTAAATGGACTACTGGTGTTTTATTGGTCTGTGGAGGGCAGACAAGCGTTCACTTGAAAGGTGATATACCCCAGTCATATAACATCTACAAAATGCGCTGTCGGCCAATTTTGGCTTTGGATATTCGGATGTGATGTTTAGATCAACGACGAGCAACCTTTTTCAAAGTTCCAATTTTTTTTCTCAGTCATAACTTCGTGTTATTATTATTATTATTTTTTATCGGGGACACCTTCGGCAGGACGGGTGATCAGTCCACGTTGTCCGCTGACCATTTCACCCATTTCCCCATTTCCTCCTTGCAGAGATTTGGGTCATCCAACTCTTAACTTCATGTTACTACAAATTCAAATATTTAACTGTTCAAAACGTAACATAACATAAGCTGTGTCTGTTATGTTAAATTGACGTCAGAACAAATACATAATGGAACATTTGTATGACAGTGGAAGGTAAAGTGCTCACTACTGTCAGTAGTGAAATAAATTGAACGAATATATCACGTTTTAAACTGTATTAAGAGGAAACGTAGACAATTATTAATTGCCTACTGGGATACTTACGACTTTTATTGTTAACTAGCTGCGACTTCGTCCGCGTAGAATAGTGATATTGGGCATCCAAATTTCTTTTGCAAACCCCTTCATCTTTATAATTTAAGCTGTTATCCACGACATCGGTGGCGTTCCGTTCCTTGCGAGCCGCCGTTTGGGTCCCGTCGTTCTCGCAAGTTATTCTTAAAAGATAGATATATAGCTTCGCGGAGTTTTTTTTTTAGATCATTTGAGGAGGAAAATAATGTTTCCAATGTTTGTCACATTTTCCGCTGTATGTTCGCTCCTAATAGTCACACGACGATGTTTTATAGCCTATAGCCTTCCTCAATAAATGCTCTAACCAACACAGAACTAGACGTTTATGTTTTATATCCGCGACGTGTTCCTTAATTCAGTTCGAGACACTACGCTTTGTTTGACCGATATAAGATAGGCCACAATCACAATCCAGTCTGTATATGCCTGTATCTGCATCATCCTTCATCATAAAAAAATTTTCAAACAAGTTTAACTAAAATATAATGTGTTTTAAACCGTTAAAGTGTTTTATTTAAATGTGTAGTACTCGCGTAAACTACAGGCAGTATGAAAGATATTCCCAAACCATTTTAAAACTCAAAAAAGCGTTTGTTTTTTCAGGACGATACCAGTATTATTTTTTATTTTCCTACTAGTTATAGCGAAGACGTACAACCATCTACCTACTAGCATAGCTAAAGTATACGACATGGTTCTTATGTTAATATCTAATTACAATATCGTCAATATAACGAGGTCATACGCAGCAAGTGCGCGATTGTTTAAAAATCAATAACGCGTTGCCTAAATGCCACTCGTTAATACATTCAATATCGGACTGGATTTTAGCCCTGCGTGCCTTCACGGAGGTACTGTCGGCAAAATAGATTAGCTATCAAAGTTAATATTACTTAGATTAAGTAAGCAAAAAAATATATCCAAAAACAAAGAAAGTTGACAGCACATCATTTGTAGATTTAAGGATTATGGCTATTTTACCTACCTTTAATTGAAGCTCATACTCGTAAAAAAAGAAGTATATATATACAGCAGTATTATCTGTAGTTCACACGAGTAGTATACATTGGAGTAAATGTTTTTTTTTTTTAGAATTACGTTGATACGTAGCGAGGTTTAAGACCGACCCCCCTCCCCCCATCACGTGTATTTTTAGTACCTACAAAGAATCTTAAAATTTTCTGAATATTATCTTAATATAAATACAGGTATAAACTATTATCTTATTTTATTCTGAAATTAAGGACCATAATAAAAATGTCTACACCATTTGTTCAAAATTTACTATACCCCCTATAATGTGTTATTTTCGTGATTTTTATCAAACCCCCCCCCCCCCCCCTTTCAAGCCTCACGTGATTAATGGACAACCCTTATTATAAAGTGTTATTTCCCCCGATTATTATCAAACAACGTGTAATGTTACGATAAAAATCAGAATAAATATTTTGTCATATCTAAAGATAACAAGATGCCGTTTTCGAATAAGGAGAAGAATGTTTATTGCTTAAATTATAGCTATTTCTGACTCTTGTATAGTAGTTACCTAATATAAACAGAGTTATCACCACCATCATTAGAATTGTATATATTTGCCCAATTAGGTATGGAATAACATTGAATTACTACGACAATTCCACACGTTTTTTTTTCTACAGTAACTTTGAATCATCGACTGTTTTGCTGCCCGTACAGAACAGCAGCGTCCGGTCATCGATGCGTCTTGCTAACGTGAACAAATCTCTTTATTATGATAATTTTATTTCTATATCTATTGTCTAATGCAAGGCGGATATTATTAGCATAAAATTAATTGTGATTTTGGGCCCATGTTCCCGATAATTATAATTTTCGGTTTTTGATAATCTGTTCTCTGCAGTGTTGGGATTGAGATGGTGGGATGAGTGATTATAGTAACTAAGTACTATTTTAGCTACCATTATTGTGTAGGTAAGTGTTATTACATTATAAAAGTATCACTTTTTATTAGAATTTTAAATGTATCTTTGTGAATAGGTAAGTTAATATATATCGCATGATGAACCGTTATAAGTGTTTTATTAAGAATTTGTTTGTATATTTGTATTTTATGGCGCTAAAATCTTTAAAAACATTGACGAACATTATAATCATATAACAATTATAATCTAAAAACGCCATCTACAGTAAGACGTTATACATTTTTAATTGAGTTAATGATGTTTGATACGTGTATCAGCGAAGTTTTAAAAAAGCAGTACAATATAATAATTAAATTGCTCTATTGTATGACAAATTAGCGTGACAATGTCGTCCAAATATGGCGCCACTTTAAAATGGCGGACAATTAAATATCACTTTGCGCTATGTAGGTATGCAAAGAATTATTGCGAACAATGATTCACGTCGTGGTGTGCTTTCCTTTTTATTACGGATAAATGTCATTTCATCAATTTTTAGAAGTTTATTATTTTTACATATTGAGGGATGTACTCGTGTACCTAATGTTTATATGACTTTTGACATAATAATATAACTAAATGTATATATAATAACCTATAACTCTATTGTCAACATGAACTATAGTTATCAATATTCTCTCATTACAGATTGCCCCAATACTCCATGCTGCTTTATAAGTCTGTAGGTAACAGATTTATTTCAACATTAGTTAAACTATCGTAATAAATAATTCTTTTCTTTTTTTAATATACCGCACCTGTAAAATACTATTTAAAAAATTACAAAGATTCTAAAACAAGAGAAAAGTTATCATAAAAATAAATAAAAAGTTTATGGACATCTTCAAAATTAAAATTTCTTATTATTTTTAGATAGCCTGTGATATCTATAGACAACATTTTAGGGAGTCAATGAGATCTAGATAGTCATTTGTCAAAATTACTTAATAAGTAGGTATATTCCCGTGTAAAACTAATAATGCATTATTATCTGTATCCGTTTTCCTAGCCTCGGACGATCATTAGCATGCAATATGGATACAAATTAATAGTAGATATTGGTCGATTATATGCCCCACTAACTTCCTTGCGTTAAAATCGTTTTTAACAACAATGAAATATAAATAAAGAATAAACTTCAAATAAAATCAGTTATCTAATTAGCAGTTATGCAATAAACATCCATAGAAAAAAGTGAGATTATTTGGAATCATATAAGTATACTAGCTGTGCCAGCGACTTCGTCCGCAAGATTGGTTATTTTGGGCATCCAAATAAGTTTTTGCAAACACGACGAAACTCAACGTCGATCGCGTCCCTTCCCGTCGTTCTTGTAAGTTAATCTTAAAAGATAGATATATAGCTTGTAGGAAAATCATTCTTTCATACACAATTTCTAGGTATCTTGAACCGTTTTCGCAGCGTACGCATCTGAAACCTACAGAGATGAAAAATTTTTACCGTTTTGTTCATATTTCTTGCTGTATCTTCGCTCCTATCAGTGACATCGCAATGTGTTATAGCCTATAACCTTCCTCGATAAATGCTCTAACCAACACAAAGAGATTTTTTTAATTCGAACTCGTAGTTCCTGAGATTAACGCGTTCAAACAAACAAACTCTTCAGTTTTATTTATTAGTATAGATTAAGGATTAACATATTTTTTTTGTTAATGTAAACCTATTACTTAGCTACACTATAAGATATAAAGACATACCTACTTATCTACGTAGGTATATAAATATTGAATTATTTGCCTAAAGTTAAAAAATATAACCTAAGTGAGTTTGGTCACTCAAAAAATAAAAGACATTTTATCCAAAATATTCGTTTGTTTTTAGCATTAAAAAATATACAGCGCAATGCATAATTTATTCAATCGTTATACATTCATAACGTTCCCCAAATGAGTCACGCTTGGCCAAATCGTACGATTTCCCACTAACAATAACTGCGGATCGTGTTGGACTGCTCAATTGATACTTAATGGCTAATAAATTAATAAACAGCTCAATTCTATCGGTGTTATGACTCATATATAAACTGGACATATTTTGGCGTTATTATATACTTATAACATTTAATTAAACACAAATAATGTTATTTATAAAAGAGACTTCCAAGAGAATAACTTATAAGACGTTTGCATCCGGAAGTATACAGTTATTGAAAATTCAAAAAGAAATTAATTCACAAGTTCGACCTCCTTAATCCTTTAAGCCATGACTGGCCGAAAACAAAACAATGTCTAATACCAGAGACAATCGCGCCAAATTACCAAACAAACGCGGCAAGGCGATATTATCTGTTATAAAAAACAAAGAGTAATAAATAATAGAGTGGAAAGTGACAAAACAATATGTAAATATCATTATTTGGCGGTCGTGCACCGTCATCGAACCAATTTGTTGTTTATAAAGAGTGAACCGCCATATTTAGCTGTTGGTTGTGGGAATAGGGAACCAATAGAGTGACTTTGAAACTATAAAATCATCATAATATGTTGCACATCTAATATTATTGTTTCTACGCCACGAAACCGAACCGCCTCTGTACCTACAGGGTTAAACGTGATGCCTAGGCTCCTGGGGAAAATAGTTGTTTCGCTCGGGCAGGTTAAAAAGTTTGATTAACGTCTCTTTGTCATCGGTCTACGTGCCATTAAATAAATACTGTTCAGTGAAACGGACATAGAAATATGTCCGCCCCTCGACGCACAGAGGGAAACGGACTTCATTTGCGTCATGTATCGCAAAAGGCTTTGTAGTGTCTAAGCTTTAAAACTGAGTTCAAGGCAAAATTCATATTTTATACCTATTACAATATTTATGGGTCCTCATTTTCCAGTTCCAGATCAACACTACAAAATGTCGCGTTTTAGATTCATTATAGTATTATAAGAGATATATATTTGGACAATATTTAGTTTTTGAAATCTCAAAACTTATTTAAGTTACAAGAAAGTATTGTAATAAATCACTTTGAATAAATAACCTGAATATCCCATCAGAACCTACTCTATAGAGTTTGTGTCTTAGGTGTTGCTTTCGAAATTGGTACGGACGAGTCGTAGACAATAATGATGGTATCGTTCGCCGTTTAGCATAGAACATAGTTTGGCAATCGTTCCTGAATGGGATTCAATCATTTAAATACAGGTTTAGATTATCGATCAGTTATAATATTGCTAAAGATAAAAGTAGAGTTCATATTGTTATTGTTTTTGAGATCTCATGAAAATAAATAACCATATATGGTTAAAAAAGAAGATAATATTTCAGAAAAGAAACCAGAAAGTTAAAAGGGACACAGTAATCGTTTTTTAACTTAATGTCCCCCTTAATGGGGAATGGGGAATTGAATGAAATGGTTGATAGCAAATGTGGAGCAATCACCCGTACTTTCCTAATATCGGTGTCACAACTAGAAAATAATAATCTTACTATATCTTACTATCACAGTCAAATTTTTATGTTTATTACATATTATATTTATAATAAACATAAAAATTTGACTTTCTAATGTTTTTTGCAGTTGTATCTATGTAATGTATAACTTTACAATCGTAAAGTTTTTTTATTTATTTTGATTTTACGCATTGAGCCCGGGGCTTCGAATACTTACCGGACGTTAGCCGTAAAGTAGATTTCTAATTTTTTGTTGCGTTGCTTTTGTCTTCTAAAAAACTGAAACTTTAGTAATGCTTTAAATTATTATACTTAATAAGAATCATGACCTTTCCTCACTGAAGACTGAAATTAAGAAAAAAATAAAGGTTAAGGTTAAGAAAAATCTTTTCCCAGATTATTGATATTATTGCAAACACAAATGAAAATATAAAAAAGTTGCCATTAAAGGTAACATATTAGCTTAGCGACATCTAACGGCGAGTAGTCAGACCTAACTTTCTATTTATAAACAACCGTTGTCTATGGCACTTGGCACCGCTTGTGAAAAGTCAACTTTGACAGATCTCCAAATCTAAATTCTAACAGCGATCATATATTTATTTTAACCACTTGCATTTCGATACAAAATATTAGTAATTCGTGGAGTGCTATTACGTGAACAAGATGAAAATACGAGCCCACGCATTTCGCGAACCGTGGAATGCGAGCCGCTAGCTTCGGTAAGTGATCGAATTTATAGAGCGAGCGCATTAGATGTCCTTATTTTTAACTGATTAAAAAAAACTGTAGTCAATTGGTTGTTAACCTTTTAACTAAAGGCGAGAGACGCGTAATGTGACGCTGCCGTATAATTTTATTACTAATCGCTAGTTGCATACTTTGCCGCGAATCTAGCACCCACTAGACGCTCTAACTGAATTGAGTTATCAGAAAATAAAATATCCCGTTATCTTAATTAGTGTAAAATTTAAACCGATGATTGGCGCTAACCGCTAGATAAAGAACTAAAGTGAGACTTATCTGGTTCTTTATTTTTAAAAATTGATTATGAATTACTTAGATTAATTTTAATTCTTGTGTTAAGTGGTACGGATTTGGGTTCACAGTGAAAGGTCAGTAACTTTTTTAGATAAATGTTTGTGTGTTTATCACAGAAAAACAATCTCCCTTTATCAGATAGGGTCTTTGGTACAGCTTTGACATTCTTTGTTTTTATTTTTCATTGTTATTTTGCATATATATTTTAAAACTCTTGTAAAAACACTAGTAAGAACATATTAACATACATTACAGAATTTAAATGTTTGATTATCTATAATATTGGTTAATATTTATCTACTATTATACTATTTTTCCATTTTATTTTCTTCTAAATACCAACCAATTTCTATCCTGCCTCCAAACAGTCTTGTGTGTTTTGCAGGGTTCATTCGTTTCACAAATTTTTTTGTAGCCAAAGCTACCAAATTATGTTAATATCAAACTTTTGCAGTTTTGGTATTATAGTTTGCAAAGGTTTTTTTTTTTTTTTTACTATAAATATTTATTGAAAGTATACTGTGCAGAGCTAATTCAACAGGTCTTAATCCTTCTATGCTATGTCTGACTATTATTTATTATTTTAAATCTCAATCAACCATTTAAACAAATCAAATCAAATTATTCGGGTTATGTGTCCCATATATATTTCTGTCGTAAGCATCTTAACTAAGACTAACAACATTACAGGACTATAGTAGTTATCTCTCAGGGATTCCAAACCTACATGCTTTTCTTAGCCGAAGGTTCTTTAGTGGAAAAAACTGGTTTGCTTCTCTTTTGCAAATCGAATTAAAAACACATTGCACGTAAATACCCGCCCATGTTTACAATAAATTTAACAACCTTTGAACAATTATCAAAGAGATAATTGTTGATTACATTAACTTAACTTCTTGTGTTTTATCTGAAAATTTTAATTGATTTTCAACTGATAAACGTGAAATATTTTGTGGGTTTAGATAAGGTGTATGGTTTTTGATCCGTTAATAGTTAGCTATAGATAATTTTATTACCCGTTTATAATCCATATTTGTTTGTTAATGTAATCATTTCGGGGCCTTGGGACGCATTTCTGTTCCTGATTTATAGGAACTTTCTATACTGCAAAATTACTTGTTGGTCTAGTGGTTAGTGCACCCGAGGGGATTGGGTGAAATAGTATGTTTATTTTCAAGAAAAAAATCTAGTTCAGCTCGGCTCTGCCACCACAGACTTCGGAAGAAGGAGGTTTCATGTTGTGACTCAAAGCGCGTTACCTTCTTTCCTGGTAGTCACGGCTGTATTCTACCGTTGATTAAGCACCATCCGGCAAGATGACGGGTTAAGCTCAACCCTACTGAAGAGACCTGTGCCCAGTAGTGGCCATTGGGATGTGTCCCAATGGCCACTACTGGGCATTTTGAAGCATAAAAATCAGATCTATCGTAACGTGTTACTTATCCTGAGTCTAAAACCGAAACGCAGTTAGACTTCACGCCTTTTCCATCTGTGGACGGTGATTCGTAAACATTGGCGGAATTTCGATTACCACCCATTTAATTTAAATAAAACACTTTAACGGTTTAAAACGCGATATAGTAGTTAAACTTATTTGAAAATGATTTTTAACTTCGGCCCGACGTTTCGGATGCTTTGCAGCAGCCGTGGTCACGGGGAGTCTCCCCCCCGTCGTCGTCGTCGTCGAAACGTCGGGCCGAAGTTAAAAATTATTTTCAAATAAGTTTAACTAATATATCGCATTTTAAACCGTTAAAGTGTTTTATTTAAATGTGTACTACTCGCGTAACCCATTTAATGTACAGATTCCCATTCGAAGTCCAGCATGTTCCAGAAAAATTATGAATTTGTTAGTAACATATTGGACCCGGTGGGGATCGAACCAAGGCCCCTTTGTTTGTTAGCCATTGCTACCATTACACCAACGAGCCCCTCGATTTTTTTTAAGTTTAGTTTTGACGATCTTGTGATCTACAGTCGAATATAACCACTACACCAATGAAACTATTTACCATCTGTTGTACACGCGAGTGACACCGCATGCGCATCTAGTTAAACAAATTTCGAGCTAAAAGATCGCACGAACAGACATAGACACAACTAGCTAATGTATTTGGTTCACATTTAAGCATTAACTAATAAATTAGGAACGCTGCCATTAAATTTGTTTTTTTTTTCTTGTTTGTGAATCTCGCATCCTGCGTTTTATAGGACTTGTTATCGAGGTGTCAGGGTTGCCACCAATATACAACTTTTAACTCGTATGTCAATGTTATATTTAAATATCCCACTAACGGTTTAATACGCGACGTATATTAGTTGAAGTGTTTTAAATACTGTCTATAGTTTACGCGAGTAGTACACATTTAAATAAAACACTTTAACGGTTTAAAACGCGATATATTAGTTAAACTTATTTGAAAAGATAATTTAAAATAACATAAATACTAAGTTTAACTAATGTTTCGCGTTTTAAACCGTTAAAGGTGTTTTATTATGTGTACAGCTTACAGATGGTTTAATTACAGACGTATGTTGTATGATTTCTTACGGAGGACACGATTGGAGGATTCTCATTCTAACGTCAAACATACTTAGGTTAATAAAATACTTTAAATTTAAAACGCGTCTTACTTAATTTATTTCCAAATATATTTATTCATATTATAACATACTAAAAATTGCCTATTTTTAATATTTAAATACTTTTAAAGTCTTATAACGCCTTATACCGTAAAAGTACATCAGTAGCTGGAAGGCATAATCTTGCAGGTAATTTTTAAAATTTAGGTATTAGTTATAAAAAAAAATTTTTCTTACTTTTGAATTTTTAACATTTTAATCGATACATTATTGTTTTGACAACCCTAGAATGTCCTTAGACGCATTGATTGTAATTATATTTACATTTAATTTAAATCAATCTTAACTTTCTAACCTCCATTTTTCAAAGCTTAATTGAATTTGATTTGATTTTATATATTTTAAACCATAAAATACCATATGAGAACAATTTAAGTAGTAACTGTAGCTTACGCGAGTAGTACACATTTAAATAAAACACTAACGGTTTAAAACGCATAATATGTTAACATATTTATTACTAGCCATTAGCCTAGTAATAATTATATTGCTCCCCAGCATCCCGAACGTTAGATCGTAGTTAAAATATATTCTCAATAAGCTCACCAATAGATTTCGTGTTTTAAACAGTTAAAAGTATTTTGATAAATATGCGTAATATGCTGTCTGTAGTTTACACGTACACTTTTAAATAAAGCACTTTAACGGTTTAGAACGCCAAATAATTATGTCCACGACAAATAAAATTTGAATTTGTTAAATAAGCCGTTTTAGTCGTTAAAGATCTTAATCTCTATCATTATATTTGAATAAAAGTGGTCCTAGGGATGAAATCGGTTGATAACGCATCCTAATTTACATAAAATACTTTAACGGTTTAAAACGCGAAATATAAACATATTTAATTTAAAATTTATATTTAAACATGTTTACTACTTAATTGTTTTAACTGTGGCCCGATGTTTTGCATGCTCTGCAGTAGCCATGGTCACGATTAGTTATTTGTAAATAAATTTACCTAATATACTTGGCGTTCTAAACCGTTAAAGTGCTTTATTTAAAAGTGTACATGTAAACTACAGACAACATATTAATAAGTTGGCTAAAGCTTCGCCTCCCAAGAGTCTCTATGATGAACTTAGCTCTTGGCTGTCTAATTGTGACTATAATAATAATAATTTGTCTATACTAATATATAAAGCTGAAGAGTTTGTTTGTTTGAACGCGTTAATCTTGGCAACTACTTGTTCAAAATGAAAAAATCTTTTTGTGTCGGTTATAACATCTATCGTGGCTATAGCTACTAGCCTTAAACATCGCGGTGCGACTAATAGAAGCGATGAAATAGTGGGAAATGTGGAAAGCGGGGATAATTATTTATCTCTTAGGGTTTCTGTAGCGTGCGCTGCGAAAACAGTTCAACATACCCAAAAATATGTAGGAGTTATAATAAATGATCTGGAAAAATGTCCTCGGTAGTATATGTGGATCTTTTAATATTAACTTGCAAGTACCTCGGGACGCGACCGACGTCGTGGCTAAACAGATGCGTGTTGAATGTTTAAAGATGTAAAGGAGGCAAAAACAAATTACGATGCCCAAAATAATTATTCTACGCGAACGAAGTCGCTGACATAGCTAGTATTGAACTACACAGACCGAAGCGAGTGGAAAGATACATAAAATATCTGAAACACTAACATTAACATACTAGAGTTGTACTAACGACATCGATAACACACCATTCCCACGGACAGCGTTATTAATTAGCGAACGCGATTATTCTAGAAACCGTTAGAATAACGCGTTAATTATGCGTAGGACATCACTAAGTGGAGAGAAAATTCGAAATTCAAAATTTCACGAGTTAAAATATCCTTATTTTTTTTTAATAATAGAGAAGTACAGTCAAGCACGGGGTTTACTTGATAGAGAAAAACATAAGTCTATAGTTTACGCGATATAGTACACATTTAAATAAAACACTTTAACGGTTTAAAACGCGATATATTAGTTAAACTTATTTGGAAATTATTTTTAACTTCGGCCCGACGTTTCGGATGCTTTGCAGCAGCCGTGGTTCCCCGTGACCACCTTTTAATAGATATGATCTTTCAGTTTAACGAGTCGGAGGTACCAATGGCAGACAAAGTTATATAAAATAATACAATTCATAATTGAACCATAAACAATAGAGAATAGGAGAAGAACTCTATCATAGTCCTTTGCTGCATATGCGCGAGCGCATGTTACATTGCTTTTCACTAGTGTTGGGTTTGTTAGTTTGTTAAGTGCCTTTTTGGTCTAATGTCTAACGCACCTGACTGCAAACCACTATGTCCCTAGTGGTAAGTTTATAAGCTAAAACCTTTCTTTTTTTTTTTTCCAATTTTAAACCTGGCTTTTTTAAAAACTTTTAAAGGGACCTTTAAAAAAACAATAGGTTCGGTATGTCGGCAGTCTTTGAGGTAGAACCAGCGTGGTGGGTCTAAGTTAAAAACTGAGCCCAACTCTAGGGTCACACTGGATAAGGTAGGAAACGCTTCGTTAAGCAACTCACCCAATCTTTGTGACAACTGCAGACGCCAGATGTACCGCAAAGTGTGTATGTATGTATGAATAAAAAATAGATCAATTCGGCGATATGCAAATTCGCTTTTTGCAATTCCAAAACAGGACAGATCGGTGTGTTAACATTTGGAATAACTGGTTCGGATACTCGTTATAATTTAGCTTCGAAAATAACGTTTTTTCGTTAAGTGAACTCGGTTAAACACTTAAGCCGTTAATGACTTAACAGCACGTATTTGAATATATATCTGGTTTTATTAACCTTACCAGGTTACCCCATTCGTCATCTTCTCATCCCCAGAAAGGGTGGAATTTTTATATCCCAGCCTAGATGCTCTAAACAAGACGCGCTATCGCTATTTTAGCTTTGGATATTCGGAACGTCACAGACTGAAAAAGAAACACAATTGATGATGAGATGGTTGTTCGCGACCCGGACGGATTTCGATATTCCTACCACGCATTTAATATCCAGATTTGCAGACGAAGTCCAACATGTTTTGCAAAATCAGAAACATATTGGACCCGATGGGGATCTAACACGACCCGTTGATTATTAGCGATCCTTTGCTACCATTAGACCAAGGAGCCGTTTCTTATCCGTTGCTTAAGTTGTAGAGTTTTAGAACTCTACTATACCTAAGGTATGGTTTAAGTAATTCTCCAAGCGAATTATAAAGAAATTTTAAATCTATTATGTATATGTTATTATTTCGTCATCGCTTCAAATCTTATGATATAAATAATATCATTGGAATAAGACAAGAAAATACACAAATAATGCAACAATTACAGAAGGTTCGAAATTAAAGCTAAGGGTTTAAGGCTTAAGGTAGTTTTTCTAACTAGTGAGTTACAAATTTTAAATTACCTACACAAATTTTAGCTCCGATCTGGTAATTTAATATTTAACGTAACTTTGGGTACATGTCATATTTAATGTCAAAAAACTCTAGTTTTGTATGAATATTTATATGACATATAAAGGTTAATAATATACACAAACGATTTCTTACCTAAAATATTTTATAGGGGTAATTGTATATAATGCCTCATTGGTCTAACGGTGAGTAGATTTGAATATAGATACTAAGGTCCAGGGTAAGGCATCTTGCTAGCTAATCATGTATCTTCTCAAATGTTTTCTGACGGTAGCCATAAAACCTGTTATCATTTTTCTACCTCTACTGTTTATTTACTAATTACTTAGACTCGACGTTTCAGATGCTTTACAGCACCGAGGCCCAGCCTGTTAAAAAATGTTTCGTTTAATATGTACCAGCTGTGTAAACTAGAGACGCTGCTTTATCAAAATCTCAAATTTAGTAGATTTTCCCCTCAATTTATATTGGAATGTTGTTGAAATGCCAAAAGTCAAAGCAGCTAATAAGAATACATAAGATTTGTTGGAAAATAATGTTACTTGAATTAGGTATTTAGTATGTATTATTCGTTTTTTGTAAATCCCGCCATAGGGGAGACCGGGGTTAGTTGACGAAGTTTCGGCTGAAGGGTCTTTTTATTATTTCAGACCAGTGTTTCTCTAAGTAAGCAAAAAGCCCTTATTTGTTAGTGCTAAAGTGTTCGAGGAGAGAATTATATGAATTTGCAAGTTTAGTAAGGCCCGTAGTAGTCTGCACCGACTCATGCACGATCAGCTTTTTATGAGATTAACCAAAAACTTTCCTACATCAAAAACCAATGGACGGCACCGATGCGCGGGCGCAGATTAAAAATTCAAATCCTAAATCCATAATCTATGCCAATAGAAATTAAACTAAAAGCTAGGAACGTGTTCTCGTATTAAAAAACAAACATTTTATGCTCTTATTAATTAACCCGTCAGTCTGGCGAACTGAATATGTTAAGTGAATTATATATTGTAAGGCATCTAGGTTTTTGTAGCATTTCTAAGTATAACTGGTTACTTCAAGGTTTGCATATTATTCTCTTGTTATATCTAGAGTGCTTGGTGATATTAAAGTTACTGGGAAAACAAGGCTTCAGTATTCTAAGGGGGCAACATCTTGTCCGGGATTCATAAACTGAAACACTTTGCGTCTATAATTGAGCCACGTTGAAACTTTTTAAAAATCGAACAATCACTGATCTGCAAAACAGTATTGTTCGATTTTTTTAAAGTTTCAAATCTTTTCTTGTTTATTTCGGAAAAATAAATAATTATTAAATGTACTTAGTTTACTTAACTACCATGCGAATTTTTCAATTCCCTGAATTTATTCGTTTTTTTTTAAATATAGAAGAGTAAAACACCCCAGCCGTATAACATCTAAGCGAGATGCGCTGTTGACCCGTTTTGGCTTCAGATTGAATTTATATGCTCTCATCTCTTCCAGACTGGATATGTCGACGCGGAGCGGCGCAAACGCAATACGTGCGCGGCGTGGGCACAAGGAGAGGTCGAAGAACTTCACGGAGCTGGAGAAACGCACCGTCCTCGAGCTGATCGCGAGGCACCGGGACGTGCTGCGGCAGGGGCGCTCCAACAACGCCACGAATCGCAGTAAACAGGTAAAAACCACCAGCACCTTGATGGTCGAACTATGGAGACGAACAATCAAGCACTGTCTCTTTTTTTATTTTAGGCTTATTATCGATGTTAATCCGATATGAGATGTGTCAGATTAACCTCGATTCTTAATTTTAATATAAACACTGTTTACGCAAAATGTTTTAGTTCTTCGGAAATTGCTGCTTCATAGCATCCGAATAACTTAAACGTTTCGCGTTTTAAACCGTTCAAATAGTTTTATATAATAAACCTAAATTATCTGAGGTGAAATAAGCCTCGCATAAAAGCTAATACCAAAAATTAAAACATTAATATTCTATCGTAGCGAAATGGTGGACAATGGTTAACCGTGTTACCTAGCATTTCGTTAAGCATGGGAGGTTCCGGGTTATCATCCCTGGAAAATAAACTGTTTTATTATTAAATAATGTTTAATTTAAATAGATTTTTTATTAACTTGACTTTCAAATCTTTATTGTAATTAGAAGATAATATTAAATTATAATTAATTATCACATGTTTATAAGAACGCTGAGTACCTAATCATACCTACCTGCGATTACCACGTGTAAGAATACCCAAACTCTAATCTAACCCAAGTAAACAAAATAGTTATACAACACGATAAAAGATTACATCAATGCCGAAATAATCATAACGTCCTTAATTATTTAATCTCTATTAATATAAAAATAATCTATGTAAATTGAAAAAATTAAACACGGGCGGGACTCGAACCGGCGTCCACAGCGATCCGTGCTGCTGTAACGAATTGAGCTGCCGTGTGACATACGTATTGATGCATGCAACTCTCGCGCAATGTAATTTCAACTAACTCTTGAGCTCTATTAGTATAGATTGTTTCATACAATCTCGTCCTTCAAGTTGTCTATTTTAATAGTTAACACGAAAATATTCTTTCCTGCCACCATCTTGTAATATTAGACTGTGTGGTGTCGAATTGCAAATGTTATCAAACTATAATAGTTACGGATTAAGCTGTAAATTGATATAGCTGACTCGTGTCATACTTTACATGTCCTCATTATATAATTACGTAACCATAGTTCTCTAATGACGTAAAAAACCGTAGCGCTTACTAAATCTGTGGATTTCCGAATGTCCAAAATCAAAATTGGCTGGACATCTTGTAAGATGTTATAAGGCTTGGGTATTTCTCCTTCCATCAAGTGGACCGCACATGTACTTTTAAATAAAACACTTAAACGGTTTAAAATGCGATATATTAGTTAAACAAATTTAAGATGATTTTTAAATTTGACCCGACATTTCGGATGCTTTGCAGCAACCGTGGTCACGGGGAGACCGTTTTAAACCGTTAGTGTTTTATTTAAACAATTATATATGAGTGTAAACGAACGCTTACCTAGCTTTGAATTAATAATAAAATAAAATAATTTAATTTATCCATAACAGATGCCGAGAATTTGGATTTTTTCGAAAATTGACAATCTTACTTAGTCTTCTACATTCACACTTAATTTTATTAAAAATGGTTTTCCGTTTTTAGTCTTTTAATTTATATTTTTAATTGAAACATAAGATTTATTTTTAGAGTATTTCTATGATTCCGCTTTCAGCTGGTCTGGTCAACGATTTGCGAAGAAGTGAACAAACGCTGCGGCGGCGAACGGCCGCGCACTCCCGCGCAGGTCAAGATGTGGTACGAGAACTATAAGAAGAAGTGCAAGATGCGCGCGCACGATACGCAACTCGTAAAGGTGATTAAAACTTTGTTTATATTACTAGATACATTTTGATACATATTTGAATGTTGGATGGTATAAAACATCAGGCTGCGACCAACAGGGGCGAAGGAACTGTGGGAAATGTGAAACAATATAAAAATATATTTATCTTGGAAAGTTATATTGCGTGCGTGAGATTCAAGATACCCAAAAATAATAAATAATAATTCTTCTTGAAATAAGCTAACCTAACCTATAATTTATTGCAAAAATAAACAATATGATGCCCAAAGTAACTGTACTAATTCTTTCCAGACCCCAACTTCAGAAACGCCCGGCCTCCTCGACGGAATGTTGTGGCAGAATATTCACCCGCTAGATGTCAAAGGTAGGCGATCAAGGGACATGTCGTTATAAGTATGGCAAAGGTCGTTTTAAGTATAATATAGTAATTATGGAATCGTCCAGTTTCAGGCGACGAAAATGACGCAACGACCAGTGGAGAAGGCGCTCATAGCGTAAAGGATGAAGGACCGGTTAATGTAAGTGAAGATATTTAAATACTTTTCAATTACATTCGAAAAAGCTGTTTTTAAAAATGTGTTATATGGCTTGCCTGTCCTTCTGCATAAAAAAGCTATGGTGTTATGGACTGTTAAACATAATATATAAATATTATGTTTAACAGTCCTCTATTTAGACTTCGCTGTCTTTGTGTCCGTTTGTCATTTCAGACACCGCTATTACTTGAGATTTGAAGTACATAACACGCAAATCTGGCCTATTTTTTGTTTAATAAATATAAATTATATATGTCTGGATACGGGTCTTCCCGTGACCATGGCATAGCATCCGAAACGTCGGGCCGAAGTTAAAAATAATTTTCAAATAAGTTCGACGAATATATCGCGTTTTAAACCGTTAAAGTGTTTTATTTAAATGTGTTCTACTCGCATAAACTATAGACAGTATTGAAACGACGGTGTCAATACAAAATTCACGTATTGTTCACCTTCTAATCCTTCGTTCGGAAATCCGATTTGCGGTTAGCCGGTTTTTTTTTTATATTTACTATAGATTAGTAACAAAAAATACTATCAATCATACATAATTGTTAATATGATTAATATAGAATTATCTTAATAAAATAAAAAGATAGAAAAATAATACAGAAACACACAGAAAATATTAGGAAACGCTGTGCTCAAATCCCACCCGTGTCATCGAATTTTATCAATCTAACCTATATTTTTAATAAAAGTATTAATTTTCTTTCCCTCAGATGTCGAACGGGCGTCTCTCAACGAACGACAGCGACGACACGATGCCAAACGTACTTGAACCCCACGTACAAATCATCCCCCAATCCTCACCCAGTCCGCCCCTAAAATCCCTCCCTAACCCCCTGAATCCCCTCATCCCCAACTTACCCCTCCTAGCGAACCCCTTAGCGCTCGAACAAGCGCGTATCCAACAAAATTTCTTGCAAAAGCTGAACGAATTGTCTAACACGCCGCTGAACCTCAGCCATTTAGATGACGAGAAACGTAAAGGCCAAGAACCGTCAGACGAGCACGGGAAACACGACTGCGGTACGGCCACGGAGGAAGAAAGGTTGTACTTTACGGCGAAGAGACAACACGCCATCTGGGAACACGAGGCGAAAATGAAAATTTTAAATATGGAACTGAGGCAGAAGGAGGAGATCTTCTCGCTTCAAAAGCAGCTCTTCCTCATCGAATTGCGTCTCAAAATGGACTTCCTGGAGAAGGCCAGCGCCAAATGATCATAGACTATAGAGGCGACGGATTTGAATTTTTGAAAATGGATTGTCTAGCATCGTGGAACCTGATTGGTTCTTTAGATCAGCAATGCTGAATGTTGCCATCTTTACGTCTCCATCTGGAGACTTCGAAATAGATTATAGAGCAGTTCTTGCTCAGTGTTACCATTATTGTGACGTAGGGTTTACTGACTTAGCCGTTTTCTCGTAATAAGTTTACAGTCGTAGTCGATTGAGTGCCATTTTTATTACTACCGCTTTCGCCTTTTCTTCCGCTGCACTTCAAAGTAGCACAATTTCGTAATTCGCGGACAATAATTGTGTAATTATATTTTTTATGATTTTTTTTTAATAAGCATAATATTTTTATAAGGGAACGAAGATAGGATGCAGGTAATCTTTTGTACAATATTCGTATTGTGCCAAATTGGGTTCTGAATTGTGATCGTAACGAAATAGTATATTATTTTTGTATTCATTATTTTGCGTAGCCTTTTGTAATTTTAGTTCTTAGTACATACAATGTGCTTAAATCCGTTCTGACGGCCTCGTTTTTAGTATTATATGTATTTTTGACGGCAGCTTGAACGCGCAAATATTATAACTGCCATATAGGTTTTTCGCGTTGTTAACTTTTAGTACTTAGTCGTTCAGTACTTGTCCTAAATAGACTTGTTTCAGTTTATGCACGTGGGGTGGTCAAGTTAATGACGAAAATGCAAAAAGTGAAATAAACTAGTCTAACGATTTTCAACTTGGGTAGTTATAAAGAATAATTAACTAAAAATGGTCTCATTTTTTTCTCAAAATTAATCTTCATCGCTGCGTTTTATTTATATCCATAGATATAATTTTAATAACGCATCGCAATTGTGTGGAACGGAACGCGATAGTTCAATTATTTTTTGTAACTACAAAAGACACGCTACAAGTCAAGTTCGTGCCAAGAAACATTATTTTGTTATTAAATAGTAGTTGTTAAATAATAATAAGAGATTCTTAGATTGAACATTTAATTGTAAAATACGTAAATTAGACACATACAAAAGAATGCTATTGATATTATTTTTTGTCGTAAGTGAAATTATGTAGAAAATATAAGTACAAAAATTCAATCAATAATACCTCATGATACAGTGTATTGTAAATATATATAGTAGTTTTAATACATTTTAGACCTGTTTTATACGGAGACTTACATTTTTGTAATTTTTAATTGTTGCCAGATTTGTTACATATGTCTTGATTTACTTACTAATTTGAACTACAAATGTTTTGATGCTAAAATTTTTGTAATTAAAAAATGCATATTTACCTCTTGACGGCTAAAGCAAAACTCTGGCAACACTATTTTGCATAATATACCAATTTTATATTGTGATGTATTTTATAAGATCTCAATAGTAAAGTTGAAATTATTGACAGCTATAATATTTTAGTATTGATGCGTTATATTTCGAAACAATTTTTTGTTAATCTGATCAAATTGGATATTATTGATATTGAATAAAGAATTTATTTTTCTGTTCAATTTCAGTTTTATTAATAGTGTACGCCGAAGAACGCTAACCCTTTTTTTATTATCCTATCCATTCGTGATGGCTACACATCGAGAACTCTTACTCGTCCTAGTTCTCGGCGTTTCTTGGCTTGCTAGCCATTGAAAATCCAAGCAGTTCACAAAGATTTATCCATACAGACCACACTCAACCTGATTTATAATAAATCATTTTCGTTATGATTGTATTTATGTTTAGTTTAGTAGTTTTATATTTACTATAAGTATTGAGTTTAAAAATCCTTGCTATATCTCCGCAGCAATTTTTACTATATTCTATAACAAAAGGGGCAGGTTTTACAATCTGTGGTTAACAAATGACATTTGGTAACTGGTTGTCATATTTCGTAATTCCAATTGGACATTAAGATTTCGTGCAAGTCCACGTAAAGGTTGAGGTTATTTACCGCGAATGGAAATATATTTTTTCTTATTAGAAAAGAACAAAGTTAAAAATGAAGATTTATACAAACGAAAATAATACCTCGACGTTAAAATTACTAATTGCGGGTAACCTTGCGGGGGCGAGGTTGGAATTGCAAAAAGCTACTCTCGAAGGTAGGTTAATATTTTATTCGTATTAATTGTGTTTAACCCTTGTTTTATTTATTGAAAAATTGTAAGCGAAGCGACATTTTAACAGCCTGTACGTAATACGTAAAAGACTATCCATTAAATTAACCTTCGTGGCAAATTTTGTTGCAGTATAATTGTTGCTAATTCAGCAGTTTTTTCCTTGTTCGTGGTGCATATTGTGTAATCCTTAAGTTACACAAAACATGGATGGTGATGGTGAGATGTATTGATGGACTTGTATTGGCATTACAGACAAATTTCCAGGTCCTAAATGCCTGCCATTGCTTGAAGTCGATGAAGAATTAACATTCTTTTCAAGTAATGCTGCGACACAATATTTGTTCCCTGTACTGGATCTCTCGCAGAATGGAAAGTGGTGAGTTAAATTATACAACAATGATTTAATGTTACTTAATTACTCTATAAATTAATTACCTTCAGAATTATTTTAAAGTTAGGTACAGCAATGTTTTGTTATGATGTTATAAAAGTATGAACTATTTTTCATTTGTTTTTTATTTTTTGATATGACAAAGATTTTGTCTTTGCTTTTAAATTTAAAATGCTCACATTATTAATTTCTTACCAGTTCGTAATTATTCTGCTTTCTTAGTAGTATATTTTCCTCGTAATTTAATTTAATTTATTAATATATACCTTAAGTAGTTTAAAACTCATCATTTAGGTACAATAACGTTAGAAAGCCTTATTAGTAAAGAAGAACTTTAATCAAAATCAGTAATTTTTCTTCTTACAACCATATCATGTCAGCCATAGACAAAATATCATTCTTGCTTGGTTTTGCATTGTAGCCAACAAATGCAAGAATGGGAGGCGACATGCCTGCAGCCAGCTGTAACAACAGTTCTATCGGGTAAAACTGCGTCAGATGTCAAGCAAGTGCTACAATCTCTGCTGCTTATGGTAGACGGTCTGTTGAAGAAACATAAATATATTATTGGGGTATGTATCATTTTTAGACTTTAAACATTTACCACTGGTAGACTACAAACAACAATAAATACCTGGATTAGACCTAGTGCTTCAACAAATAAAGTGTTTACAAAACCTTCAAAAAAAATTTTGCCTTACCTATATCACTTAGATGTGCCAGTAAGATTGTTTGCGACCCACTATTGTATTGCATTATTAAAATACAATTTAACAGTAATATACTTGTTATGCCCGTGACTTCATCCGTGCGAAATATTTATTTTGGGCATCCAATTGATTTTTGCTAATATAATTAAGTTGATTTCTAAGAAATAATTGGTAATACTTCATTTTTATTACCACAAAAATGATTCTTGCATGTTAATTTTTAAAGATTGACTGTTGTGGCTCTTTTTTAGTGTTTAAAGAGGAATCATTCTTTCATACATATTTTTTGGTTTCTTGTACCATTTCAACTTGACTATCTTTTCAAATATATAGCTATCTAAGTGAAGATTGCAAATATTATTTTCTTTATTATTATAAAATGTTTATTTCATTTTTTCTATATTTTGCAGGATAAATTGTCAGCAGCAGATATATCGATATGGAGTACCTTATATCCTCTAATTTACAATTCAGATACAAAACAGGCATATTTATCCGAATGCCCAAACATTCTTAGATGGGCAGAAGAGTTGAATACAGCTAAAGCTTTCCAGGTAAGTTCTTATGTATAATTAGCGTCTGAAATTAATATAAAGTACATATTTACAAATTCTTAAAAATGTATAGTCTGCCTTTCAAACGGTTAATATTGTATTAGGCTGCAGACGAAAATATTCATGCCATCTATTAAATAATAAAAATCTAGAAAGATAAAAAGGTGGAGAGGATTATTTAATGCAAGTAACTATATTAGAAAATCTTATTGCAGGAGGCGGTGAAGCAATGGGGTGGAAATGTTTCTGGACCATTTAGTTCCAACTCAGCTTTGGGTATTCCACAGATAACTAACCTGCCCACTCCAGTCGGGTGAGCGAACTTTTATATTATTTATACTGATATATAAAGCTGACAGTTTCTTTGTTTGTATGTTTGAACGCGCTAATCGAAACATACCTAGTTCCTGAGAACTATGTGTCGATTTTAAAAAATTATCGAGGAGGGCACATCGCGTTGCAACTAATTGCAGCGAACAAACAGTGGCAAAAGACGTGAAAATTATTCATAATTGTGCGTTTCCGATGCGTACGTTGCAATAACGGTTCAAGACACACAAAAAATATGTATGAATGACAGCATATGTCTATCTTTTAAGATTAACTTACAGTAACGACGGAAAGGGACGCGACCGACGTCGTGGGTAACAGCTCAAGTTTATAAAGATAAAAAAAAAAACGATTCTCGCGGACAAAGTCGCTGACACAGCTAGTGGAATTATAAGTTTAGTAGCATCCTAGCCTTGTGAAAACTAATATATTTACTTAATAACGCCCTAAATGACGAATTTCGAACACATGGGTCACATCTTCCACAACGCCACTATCTATAGAATTAGGACTTGATGTAGAAAATGTTAATATATTGATAAGCAAAAGTGCAAATCCATCTTGCCGGATCCTTGTCTACACCTTGTACTCTAGCGAACTTTACAGGATGAAGGGATTAAATATTTACATTTTATTCAGATCCCCAGATGATGTACCAGTGGGAGTGACACAGGAAGAAGCCGACCTTGCGAAAGAGAATTGGTTGAATGGTTTGGACAAGTTACAACCACCATTGAAGCAAGAGAAACTAGTGTGAGTTTAAATACTGTCTATAGTTTACGCGAGTAGTAGACATTTAAATAAAACAGTTTAACGGTTTAAAACGCGATATATTAGTTAACTTCGGCCCGACGTTTCGGATGCTTTGCAGCAGCCGTGGTCACGGGGAGATTTCCAAATAAGTTTAACTAATATACCGCGTTTTAAACCGTTAAAGTGTTTTATTTAAATAGTGTGAGTTTGCTTCGAATTTATCTTCATTATAAATCCTTGTCGATTGAGTGTGTTTATTGTACAAAAAAAATAAATACAGCAATGTTAGTCTACTGGCTAGTTGAGGCTTTTTGGTGTAATGGGTCGTGGATTCGAAGCTCACGAGGTCGAACATGAACTAAATTATTTACACATTTCGTTGGACTTCGTCTGTAAATCTGGATATTAAGTGGGTGGTAGGAATAGCGATTTCCTCCAAGATACGAACCACGGTTCACAGATGAAAAAGCCGTCAATTTTAATCGCATTTCGGTTTCAATCTATGGATCTTCGCATCTAGCTCACATGTTATATCGCTGGGGTATTCACATACCATCATAAATTTACGACTCGGTAGCTCAATTGGTTAGAGCAACCGCACGAAAACGCTTTGGATGACGCATCAAGTCCTGCCCGTGATATTTTCAATTTATAATCGATTTCGTTAATATATAACTTGATTTTAAATAATACTTTTTCCAGATTGCCAGTTAAGGGAAGAAGGAATGTACTTATCACCTCTGCGTTGCCATATGTGAATAATATTCCGCATTTAGGAAACATCATCGGTTGCGTGCTATCCGCGGATATATTCGCGAGGTATTACTTTTATTATAGTTATTAAACATTAATGTCATTGAAATGTTTAGTTTGAAAATACTATTGCAGGTATTGTCGGTTGTGCGATTACAACACCCTGTATATAAGCGGGACGGACGAGTATGGGACTGCAACGGAAACCAAAGTAAGTTATTTGCAATTTAATATATTATACATGTTGAATAGAACACTTTTAATGGTTTAAAATTGGTTTGCTTATTTTTTACTTTACCCGACGTTTTTGATGCCTTGACCGACATAAGAAGGTACATATCTGATTTTTAAATCATGTATGTGTAATATAATGTGTTTCGAGTTCATTGTAATTTTATAAGAATTGAAGTTTAAATCGGTTCAAATAAACACGGGAAAGTTATAAATTGATTTACGAAACTTTGCAGCCGTGATAGGAATCGAACCTACGATCCAAAGAGTAATACTACCTACGTCAATGTCGATTTGCGTTTATAGGCTAACTTTCGTTTTCACAAAATAGTCTCGTTGGTGTAATGGTAGCAACGTGTGGCTAATAATATCGGGTCATGGGTTCGATCCCCACCGAGTCCAGTTTAATGGCGTTGCAGTTTCGTTCTATGTATTTTGAATCTAAATCCAAAATAGGCCGACAGCGCATCTTTAGAGGTTATGACTGGTGTGTTCACCTACCATCAAGCGAACCCCAGGCTTGGTTACTTAAAAAAATTCATTTGTTTTCGTAGGCACTCGAAGAAGGCCTCACTCCGCGTCAGATTTGCGATAAGTATTATGAGATCCACAATTCCGTGTATCGCTGGTTCAACATTGGTTTCGACTACTTCGGTCGGACTAGTACGCCGGAGCAAACTGAGTGAGTATTCGGGTCACTGTAACTGTTAGTACTCGTTACCGAGTAATACTCGCAGCGAGTATTGAGTACTTAGTACCGAGTACTGACAGCTATTATAATCACCCATAGTGAGTGAAATCCCGTTTGGGGCATGGGGCGAAACATTTGTGTCCATTTCATTGATTGGTTTTATTTACAGGCAAGTAGTTGATCATATTTCTGTATCCGATGCAGTTGAAACAGTCTATTACTTCTCTTGGATTCGAACTTAACGCAACCCGTTTTCATAGTGCGTACTGATAGTAATCATAGCAACAAGTTAAGTATTTGTATAAGCAAAATCGAACGAGTTGTTTATTGTCTACTGCTGGCCCGGGACAATATGGAGAGTGTGTTTTTTTCTAATAATAGTCAATGTATGTTTAGTAACTTATTTATATTATGTTTAGTATTTTCCCTAGCTTAGTAGTTAGCGTTTTTTCAAATTGTTTTGGACACAAAAGTCCAATTCACAACTGTCAATAAAATCAATACTTTAAATGAGCGGAGAAATATTCTTGCCCCATGCCTCATAGAGAAAACCGGTATTTAGTAATGGAATTTTTTTACCTCTTCTAGGATAGTACAAAACCTGTTCATGAAACTACTAGACAACGGATTCATGAGCACGCAATCCGTGGAACAGCTCTTCTGTGAGAAATGCGAGAGGTTCCTCGCTGACAGGTATGTATTTAGGTTTTTGTAGGAATACTAAATCAAACTATAGAATTCTGCGTACCCTAAAGGACTGGTGGTCCACGCCAGATCTTTTAGGCATTGAAAGAATCTACTTTTATATGCGGTCTACTTTGCTCAGCCGTGTTACATTGTTTGGGGATTCCCCGCAAACATATTTGTATCTTTTAAATTATTTTTTATATATATTAATAATTTTTTTTTCAATAATAATAAATTATTTTAACTGTTACTTTCCTTTTAACCCGTGTTTCATTAAAAAATGTGTACTACTCGCGTAAACTACTACTACTTTTTATTTGCTCAGGTTCGTAGAAGGCACATGCCCGCACCCCGGCTGCGCGTACGACGGTGCACGCGGCGACCAGTGCGACAAGTGCGGCAAATTGATCAACGCCGTGGAACTCATCGAGCCGAGGTGCAAAGTGTGCTCGCATCGGCCGACGGTCAGGCCAAGTGAGCAGCTGTTCATTGAGTTGGGACAGGTTAGTTACAAAATGACTACTCTGTAACAAATCCCCGGGAAACTTTAATAGCTGGAAAATCGATCAGCTTAACGGAACACAGAAATGTTTTCGCCCCATGCCCTACTGGATGAAACGAGATTCCACTTTTCATAACAACCAATGTTGATAGTGTTACTATTTAAATATTACTTAACTTATTAATTACATTTGTTTTTAATTGTAAACAATCATATTATTTTTATGTATTATTATATAATGTATTTGTAATGTAATTTTAATCTTAATACCTGCGCATTAAGATTCAATGTCTTTTGCTTTGTAGGTTAAGCAAATCACAAACAATGAAATTGCTGAGTTTAACATTTAATTATTTTATATAGGGCCATCATGTGGAAATATAACAGTTTTCAAAGAAATTGTTCTATAGGCAGTTTCGATTTCGGCATAAACTAAATTATTAGTCAATAAGTCAAACGTTAATTGCAGTTGGAACCATCAATTCGGACGTGGTTGGCATCTGTAGAAGGGGGGTGGTCTGGCCCAGCGAGGGCTGTGTCTCGTGCCTGGTTGAGAGATGGTTTACGGCCTCGAGCTGTCACCAGAGACCTAAAATGGGGGGTGCCTGTGCCCATGGACAAGTATAGACATAAGGTATGGTGTTAAGGGTACAGGGTCTCAAAAGTTTTACTTATTTTTTTAGTATTGTTCTAAATATTTATTTGTTGTTTACAAATAATGATATTTTTTAACTCCTAGTATTTTGTCGATTAAAAACTTTTTTTGTGTTATAACAGTATTTTAATTCATACTAATATTTGAATATATTCAGGTATTCTATGTATGGTTCGACGCCCCAGTTGGCTACGCGAGTATTACACAATGCGCCACAAAACACTATGAGAAATGGTGGAAACCGGACAAGGAATATGATGTAAGTACATATATTTATATTGTTCCTATAGTTGTAAAGAGGTTTTTGTTACCCATGGTAAGGTATTTATATCCAATTTAAAAAAAAATCTTTTTCATGTTCGTAACTAAACAGGACTTCAAAATTATATTTACTACCAGTTTGAAAACATTAATATTTTTCACATGTTATTGCACATGAAGGCACTATATAATTTAAAAATCGAAAATAAATTGAAAAAAATTTTTCGACTCGGGCAGGACTTGAACCGGCATCGTCAGCTTTCCGTGCTGTTGCTCTACCAATTGAGCCACCGAGTCCTACACCTCATCGTCGAATTTTTTTTTTCAACTTACTGATACATGCACCTCTCGCGCAATGTAATTTCTACCTTAACACTTGCGTATTAAGGCTCAATGTCTTATGCTTTGCAGCTTAAGAAATCATTGAAGATGAAATTACAAAGTTATAACGTTTGAAAACATTAATATTCCAGTTCTTAATCAAGGTCGTAGAACGAACGAGAAGAATTGGCAATAAACTCGCCCCCCTTCCTTTTATCGCCAAGTTTCATTTTACGTATTTTTCATATTTTTTTAGTCTTAACGTAGTTGCTGGTGTGAATCCCGGTTAAAATATAAATTGTTTCGGTCGAGCAGGGAAAAGAAGTCTGATTAACAAACATGTCAATAAAATCGATCAGTGAAACCAATCCAGATATGGGTTAGCCCCACATGCGGAAACTGGCTTTCACACATTTCATTTATTCTATTATTTCTCAGGTCAAGCTTTATCAGTTCATGGCAAAGGACAACGTTCCATTCCACGCTATAATGTTCCCGGCCAGTGCTATCGGCGCTAACCAGGGGCATAAGTTGGTTGATTACATTTTTGCAACTGGTAAGTGTTAGATTTAGTATTGCTATAAATCGTTTCTCTTTTTTTATGTTGCTTCGCCACTTTTAAGTTGCTAAAGAGAATTTAACTACATTTGACGTCGCTCACTCGTGACGATGTTCCCAACGACTCGAAAACCCATGACACTTTGTGGAATGGACGGAAATGCAACAAATTTATCGATTTTTGGTGTGTTATGTTTCAGAGTATTTGAACTATGAAGAAGGCAAGTTCTCTAAGTCTCGTGGCGTTGGTGTGTTCGGTACGGATGCTCAGGTGAATATACAACTGTACTTCTTGATGGAGTAATAATTCAGTGCCGGCTTTAGGGTTACGAACACATCAGGCGGAAAGAAATAAAAAGAGGCTGGAAGAGAGATAACGTTGCTCATGTACTGAATCCAAGAATTTATCAATCGAGCAACGTTGGTCATGTTTTATTGTGTGCTTTGCAGGAAACCGGTATACCATCAGATGTGTGGCGTTTCTACTTGGCCAGTATACGTCCGGAGACATCGGATTCTAGTTTCAACTGGACAGAATTGTGTACAAGGTAAATTGCAATATAATCTTTAGTAGTATTTCGAATAATGCTCCTTGAATACTCCCTAATGGCTAAAAGACAACAACTCTTCTCGTGTAATTATCGAAGCGGACAATAAGGTTTCCCCTTAAATACTGTCAATACGCGAGTAGATTAATACACATATATAAATAAACTTACTTGTAACGTCTCAAAATCGTCAACTAATATTATCGCGTGTTAAACAGTTACAAGTGTTTTATTTAAGTTGCTTCTAGTTAACGAACAACTTTTTTTGGCAGTGGTTATAGTTATTTGAATGGTTTAGAAAATCCATTAATTTTGTTTCAAATTAACTGTTAGCTTGTGGCCTGTAATAGGCATTCTTCTTTTTAATGGCATTATAACCCCTCTATAGTCTAAAAAGAATAATATATTTGTTTTGTTTTTTCTTAGGAATAACTCGGAGTTGTTGAACAATCTGGGCAACTTCTGCCATCGTTCCCTCAGCTTCTGCGCGAACACCTTCAAAGGGTTGATCCCGGAAATGCAACTCACCAAGACTGATTATGAATTATTCGCTCTCGTTAACAGGGAGGTTGTTGGTAAGTACACAGAATATTATTTAAAGAGAAACTAACAAGCATGCTACAGTCCTTACACTAATAAATAAAGCTAAAGAGTTTGTTTGTTTGTCTGAACGCGCTAATCTAAGGAACTACCAGTTCGAATTGAAAAATTTTTTTTGTGTTGGTTAGAGCATTTATCGATGAAGGATATATAGGCTATAAAACATCGCGCTGTAATGTACTATTCTACAGTATATGGACTAATAGCGAAGAAACAGCGGGGAATGTGAAAAAATTAAGAAAAATATTCATCATTGTGGGTTTTGCGATGCGTAGGCTGCGAAAACAGTTCCCAAAAAAATATGTACGAAAGAATGATTCCTCTATAAATGATTTTAAAAATGTTCGCGACGCGAACGAACATCGTGGCTACCACTTACTTCCTCTTAACGCGAGTACGTACACATATAGAAGCGCGCCCGTGACCACGGCTGCGCGAAGCATCCGAAGACATCAGGACGAGTGTAAAAATCTCGTCTCGGAAACAAGTTTAATTGACACAGCGTTTAAACCGTTAAAGTGTCTACTTAAAGGCTGTTACTCAGAAAAATGTAGGTTTTAAAAATTTTTTTTTAATTAAAAAAGTAAGCATTAACAATCATAAAAAGGACCTCTTTATTTTGGCTCGTGTAATAGATACGGGAATAGAAGGCCGAGGCAGAACTGCCACATATCTTCTAACACTTCCCTAATCCTCTTTATACACGGCGGCCGTCTGTGAACCCGGACCATCTTGAGCGTGTCTCGTGCTCGTTTATTAAAATTGAACTAAGTGTCAATAGTCATTTAAGACTGAAAAATTTTATTTATAAAATTTTTTGCCACTATGTGAAAAATATTAAGGTTTTAAGAACTGTGTGTTGTTGCATTTTGAAACATAAAAGGTGTGGCCATATTCAAAGACTTTTTCTCAATTTATTTTTGATTAAAAATGAACTTAACTACTGTCTGCTGGTTACTATGCGAGTAGTACACATATCAATAAAACAGTTGAACTCTAAAATTTAGTTAAATCTATTTAACGTTTGGGATGCTTTGCAGCAGCCGTGGTCACGGGGAGACCACCGTGACCGTATTTTTTAAAATAAGTTTAACTAATATATATATATCGCGTTTTAAACCGTTAAAGTGTTTTATTTATAAATGAATTTATTTAAATTTGTTCGAAATTCTTGTTTTTGGCAGTCATTTTATTGCAAAAAGTATAATCGACAGTTGAAATTAATGTGACATGTCTGTCTATGTAAGGTAATCTTGAAAACATAAATAACACTGGTAACACAGCAAGGCTACATGGCAATTTATTTTTAGGATTCGAGGCGCCACAGCAATCGGCGTGTGTTGCCAGCTTGTAGCATTATTGTGCACTCTAATAGCACCGTACATGCCCGATACGAGTCGGAAATTGCGCGCGCAGCTCAACCTCGGTGATACCAGTTTTAGGATTAATTCCAGGTATTTATTTTTTTATCCATCTACAAAATAGCCTTGAAACCCCTTTTTATTTAAAATATGATTCTCGTTTTGTTTATTAATAGAAGTAATAGTGTATTAGTCTTGCTGTTTATTGATAATTATTTTGTTTATTTTTGATTTTAAACTTGGCAATACAAAAAGTTTTGAAACGTTAACCTTATTCGTGAAAACTTGTTTAAGATAAATATTTATTTCCGTAGTAACCCATCGTTAATTCAATACATACCGATTGGGCATAAAATCGGAAAACCGGAACCGCTCTTCACCAAGATCGAACAAGAGTTGGTTGATCAAATGAGAACGAAATACGCTGGCACTCAGGCAGATAGAGCTAAGGTAAGCAAAACATTAATAAGACGGCAACGCATGTTACGTGAAAATACTTGATTAATTAATTTTAGTTATTTGTGATTGCCAGGCCTTTTTTTTTGGTTTAAAAAATAATTATTACCTTAAAATATCCAGCTTTCGAATTTAATTAAAATTTATTTATAAGTTCTTTTTAATGGTATAGTGGGTTTAAATTATTAGACATTTAAGAGAAGAAAAAATAAAACCACCCTTTATTCACTTACATACATGTTTTTTGTGTATTTATTCTTTGTGTAATGTTGTTTATACTAGATAATAATAATAATGAATGTTGTTTTTCTCATATCAGCAAAATGGTGAAGTTAAAGGGGACAAATCATCAAATGTCGCAGAACTAGAACAGGCTATTGCCAAACAGGTATGCATAATGTAACACTGCAATTATTCACCTTAATGGAGAAAAATTGCTACTTAACGTAACGCGTTACGGCTTTAGCTTACTGACTTTTTTTCTATGGAAAAAAGTTTATCTGAGATTCGTCTTATTCGTCGATACTGTAAAATGAGACTTTTCTAAATACTGCATTGAATTTGGGGTATTTTTTTATTAAATATCCGTTAAACTTATGTTTATTAATGCAGGGTGAAAAAGTAAGACAACTGAAAGCGGCGACAAAAGATAAGTCGGTATGGCAACCCGAAGTCAACATATTACTTGATCTCAAGAAACAATTGACAATCGCACAGTCTCAACCGAAACCCACTCATACCCATGATAGTGATGTTGCCAGTCTTGAAAAAGCTGTCGCATTACAGGTATAATATTTGAATATTGTCTATCTGTGATTAATAAATCTCTCAATTCTCTTACGCGTTAACATCTTCTTAATCTATGTATTCTAGGGAGATAAAGTACGCCAGCTAAAATCTTCAACAAAAGACAAGTCAGTATGGCAACCGGAAGTTGAGAAGTTGCTAGATCTCAAAAAGAAGTTGGCCGCTGCGCAGTCTAATACGCAGGCAACACCTGTAGCTAATAGCACTGAGAGTATTGCTGATTTGGAAAAAGCGATTGCTGAACAGGTAAAGAGATTAAGAGACTAATATAATTTATAATAAATTTATTCTTCTTTTGCCTTTTGAACTCATGTTTATCCTTAACAGGGCGATAAAGTGCGAAAATTAAAAGGATCAACAAAGGACAAGAGTGTTTGGACACCGGAAGTCAATATTTTGTTAGATCTCAAAAAGCGTCTAGCTGCAGCGCAGATAAAGTAAACGGCCAAATCCCAAATAAGTATTTAACCAGTTATTTGTAAATAAAGGAGGTAAAGAGATAATCTGTACAAGTGCAATGGTATTTTTTAAATGTGTGCGTAACATTCTACATGTTGTGTGCCCTATTGTAATGTTATTTATTTTAGTCTATAGGCTTGAATTCCAGAGCTAATCTCAATAAACTTTTACAGAATCTTAACTTACATTTTTCTTTAATTCCACTTTTATCCGCACTTTAATGTTCATATAGTGTATTTTTTCTAACTTGGCAAAAGACCACAACTAATATCTCCGATTTCGAACCATAGAGAATCATTGATGATCTTATAATATTGAGTGATGTTGTTGCCACATAGGTAAAGAAATCAATTAAATATGGACCAAACGACCTTAATGTTGAAAATCACTTTTTTTATTTTTTTTTTATGATATTATTTAAAACGTCGTTTGTAACGCTTTTCAGCGATCGTTAATAAGTGGGATTTTTACCTTCTAATGTCGTTAACTTGGCTTGCATCCTTTTATAAATATCAAAAGAAATTTTATTCTGTCTATTAATATAAATTAATTTTTGGGATTATTGTTAATTTTTCATAAACATTTTGTTTTTACTTAGTGTATTTCAGGAAGTTTATTAGTCTAATATATAATCCAGAGTCTCTGGTTTACCATAGAAAAAATATATACTACACAAGTGGTACGCATAATCTGTAGGTAAGCAAGCATATCTGACAATGACAACTAACATAATAAGAAATACACAATACTGTATATAGTCTATGAGCATTCAATTTATTTAATAAACAACACTTGAATTATGATATCCATAATTAAATTATTTCGTTATACTGTGTGAAATGGATATCAAGTATGTTTTATTTAGTCCCCATAAAGTGTGTAGAATTTGTTTCTGTGAAGCACCATCCCAAGTTTCTTTGATAGACATCTTCGAAAATGACACTCGCACAATATGTGAAGTTTTATCATTTTTAACCAATATTAATATAACTCTCGCTGATGGAAGCCCAAAACAGATATGTGTGGAGTGCCATTTGATATTGTCCAAGGCTGTACAGTTCAAACAACGATGCGTCGTGTCAGAAACCGTCTTGAAAGAAGCCCTAGGGGCCGAATCAAATTCAAATGTTCAAAGAGACGTAGACGCATTTAATCAGCCCCCTGAACACTCTTTGAGATCCTTTCGTGCTGTAGAATATAATTCATTAAATTTAAGCTCTGAGAAGTACGATGATTTAAAAGAATTTGATCAGAAAACTATGCTAGAAGTATCAAAGTCAGAAACACTAGAAGATATTAAGAATGAATCTGATGTAAATGACTTCCACTGCTCAGATAGCCAAGAAAACTTTTTAACTTGTGATTGTGAATCAACATTTAGTTCAGAAATTGAATATTCTAATCATTTGAAATGCTGTCAGAAACATAATTTATTAAACACTAAACAAGATGCACTGTTCTGTCCGACATGTAGCTTAGCACTACCAGATTTTCTATCATACACACAGCATATGAACAAACATAATACAAAGACAACAGAACGCAAATTAGTGTATAAATGTGATAAGTGCTTGCGTAAGTTTGCTCTAGAAACATCGCTACAGAGGCATTTAAAGAAACATGACAATTTAGAATATAAATATGTTTGTAAGAGTTGTAAAAGAGAATTTAAGTATCAGGCTCATTTAGAAAATCATATATTATTAGTTCATACAAGAGATAGAGGCTATAGATGTGACTTGTGCGAACAGAGCTTTATATCTCTAGATGCTTTAAACGTTCACAAAGAAGTCCATAAAATAAAGAAGAAACACCAATGTACAATTTGTAATAAGTCATTTGTATTATTGTCTACATTAAGTGATCACTTAAGAACCCATACAGGGGAGAAGCCCTATCTTTGTTCTACATGTGGAAAGGGTTTCTCGCAGAAAACAAATTTGGAGCAGCATATCAGGCGACATATTGGGTTAAAGCCGTACCAGTGTGAAAATTGTGATAAAAGGTAAATGTCTATTGTTTTCAACAATAAATTTTAAAGTTATATATATAAACATACAGGAAATTATTGCACGATGGCACATTATTTTTCAGATTTGTATCCAAGGGTGAACTAACAGCCCATCTCAGAAAACACAGCGGAGCCCACCCCTTCATATGTGATGATTGTGGAAATGGATTCACAACATCAAGTTCTCTTGTGAAACATAGACGGATACATACTGGTGAGCGACCGTTCTCATGTGATATGTGTAATATGAAGTTTGCTGCTTCCGGTACTTTAAAAAATCATAGACGAACTCACACAGGTGAAAAGCCATATAAGTGTTCTCACTGTGACAAAGCGTTTGTACAAAAGCAGGACTTAACATCACATATTAGGTGTCATACAGGGGAGAGACCTTACGTATGTTCTAACTGTGGGCAGGCGTTTAGAAAGGCCTCTGCATTGAAGGTGCATTTGAAAATACATGGAAAAGAAAGTGAATTATTGCAAGGGATTATTTCATGATAATAATTGAAAAGCTGTCAGCTTTTGTTAACAATCTATAAGATACTTTTAAAACTAAATTACTTGTATTTTTACAGTATTATTATTAGAATAGAATTTGTTTATTCAGAGACACTACTTTTACAATTAAAACTTTTGTGGAAGGTTAGCCCAGCTTTATAACATCTTTTTCAGATGAGCTGTTGGCCTGTTTTGGTTTTAGCTCAGATCCACTTATTAAATCCACAAAGCATATTTACAGTTACCTATTTCATTTACATGTTTCTAAAATAAATTATTGATATGTTGTACTGTATAAAAATCAAACCCATGATATCAATCCGGTTGATCGCCATATGATGCCTAGCGTGGATTTTTTGATAAGGTTCCTAAGATTTTCAAGTATTGCTAGCTAAAAGTTTTAATCAATATTTGTTAGCAATAAATAATATTATTATTATGCCTAACTTATTTTTGTGAAATTTGAATATGAGAGGTAGGATATAGACTCAATCTAACAGTATTTTTATATGTGTGCTGCTATGTCGAAAGAAACATTGTGTAAAGTTTTTAATGTGTTGCCATAGTAAGGCTGTACCCAATAATAGAAATATAAATATAAAATATATGTTTATATTTATTTATTATATTAACCTATTTGTTTATTGTCACCCTCTTAATAACAAAATTACAACTAGTATTGAGGCTTTTCCAAATAAGTTTATGACTAACTTATGATGGAGCAGCCTCGCTCCTTCCTGTCAAACATTAAAAGATTGATAGTTAAAAATGTGTGTGTGACTGTATCATGCGTAAGTATGTTGTAAAAGTAAAATAAGTAATAATAATTGTAGGTCGAAAAATATTTATTGGAAGATTAAGTCTAATTTAACTTAAATACTGTCTAAAGTTTACGCGAGTAGTACACATTTAAATAAAACACTTTGCCGGTTTAAAACGCGATATATTAGTTAAACTTATTTGAAAATGATTTTTAACTTCGGCCCGACGTGTCTCATCGCGTTTTAAACCGTTAAAGTGTTTTATCTAATTTAACTTAGTCTATATAGGATCAGTTCTGTTTCCTTGGATGTTGCCCATTTGAGCCATTCAGTTCAACTCCTCTGTAAGTCCTCAACTCTATCCTCAAGAATATTTGAAATTCTTCTTTGTTGACCAACCGCTCAATTGACTCTATGTTTATATTATCATTTTTTTTTTATTCTGATTTGACGTATTGAGCCCGAGGCTTCGAATACTAACCGGACTTTTGGGCGAGCGCGCAAGCCCGCGCCGTGTTTGCGGCTAGACCAAGGGTGCCTCGAGGGGGGCATCGATCTCGGCTTGGACGGCCGCAATGCGGATGGGAGCTTGAAGAGATGGACGGAAGCTCCTGTGTGAGCGGTAGCGCGGAGCGATTACCTCGCCTTCGCCAGCGGAGGCGGTTTTGCGGACGATCGGCGCGGGCGCCGACGGATAGCGTTATGGTTGATTCGTAGTCAGGGTCGGTGAGAGGAGGCGAGTGAACCTGTAGCTGGAGCTTGTGGAGGTGTAGGCGAATATCGGACGGATGCACCTTTCGTATATGTTATTATCAGTATCAGCTGCATCTCTTTTAGGACTTAGACGGAGATATATTCAAGTTTCGCCAAAGTACTAGGAGCATATAAACTATAGAGAGTACATTCTTTGTCACCAAGATCACAAGACACAAGTCATTAGTGAGGGGGCGTTACCAACAATTTACTTCCACCAATGGGGGGATGGAGCTTGGTGTATCCGCCTTCAAGATCTAAACGAATACCACTTGCAAACTTCTGCGACACTAGTATATTCTTAAATTTATTTGAATTTGATTTTATTATATTTCAAGGAAAAGACAAAATTGTGGTTCTTACAGTTTTAAATAAAACTAACTCCTTTTAATAAAACAACATTTACAGATTGGAAATTTTATTCACAAATTTAAAATTCTAAAAATCATAGTCTAACGGATAAATAATATAAATATCAATTTTGGAATAACACTTAACTACAATTAGTACAAATGCAATAAAAAAATTATATTCATTACATATTTTAACTTAAAGCTGTTTATAGAATGATAAGAGCGATTAAACTAGTACAAAAAAATATTTGTCATAACGAGACATGCTTTTTTAAGCATGTCCTAAGTTAGCATTTTACTTGCAATACAATTGTAGAAGTTGTGCCTGTGTAAAAAAACTAATACCTATTGTACTTGTGTGAAACAGCCTAACGCTAAATCTAGAACCCGTCTCGTTCACAATCGCGACATTAAATTTCTGTCCTGCTTTCGCGCGAGGTGAAAAAAAAAGACAGAAGCATGTCGAACACAATCGAGAATAAGACGGTGATCATATATCTATCTCTTTCGGTCTTTATAGAAAATACAAAGCGCGAATGAAACGGATATATTCTTGAATTGCCTATAGGCCAAGTGTATCATTCCTATATTGTACTATTCATTGGATTATGTTCAGTGTTTTACTGACGTTTTTAACCAGTTGCTATTTTGATTTAGAGAAGAAATCTTTTTTCAAAAAAAAATGTTTTAAATCTTAGCTTATGATATCTGTTCTATACCTAATCTACTTACAACATTACCATATAATACCTTCACATTAGTGCATCAATGATCTTTTAAAAACTTAGGTTTTGTTCAATCATTAATGAAAGATCTTTGGTTGGTTCATAAGACTGCGCAGGAGTATGTATTCGAAATATGAACTTAAGTTCAAAGACCATTTATGCAAATATCGAAACGAAAATCTAGACGAGTATCACATAAAATCTCGCAGGATATTGAGTAAATTCAACACAACCTGTCTCACTCTTCCGTACGCAAGGGGTAGTGAGTGGGAGAGAGCTGCACATATTTGAAGGATGTCACTAGAGTTTGGCTAACAGAGACTTCGTTCGAGTCTTGAGCTTTACGAATACAATGCAACAGTTTTTAATAATATTTTCTCTCATTAGATTTTTTGTTCAAAAAATTTTACAAAATAATAATTATACCTTCATCACTAAACATGTCTTTAGCGCGAAGATATATGTGAAAGAAACAGAACGATCAGAAAGAACCGACCTAAAGTATAGGATAAACCATTAACCATTATGTAAGTGGCTTTCAGGTTAAGTTTAGATCTAGTTCTGTCTCTTTCGCACAATTAAGTAAACATAAAATGGGTTTGATTAATAACTGAACATTTAAAATTACAAGAAATAATATGCGTTAGTGCATTTTTTAGAACCCTGCTATCGAAATGTACGACAATCCTGCGTTTACGCGAGATTAAATAAAACCCTTTTGAAGGTTTAAAACAAGAAATATATTATTTTTTAGCCCCTCTGTAACCACGGCTTCTGCAAGCACTCAAAACGTTGGGCCTTAGTGTAATATGTTATGAGTTTAAAACTGTTAAAATTGTTTTATTTTAAGTTAGATTAAATTTGGTCCTTTACCGATTTTCTTTTACATTTAAAGGCCGAAGCGAAGGGCATTGAAGAAAATTAATAATTTGGAAGCATTAAAAACCTATTTGGTAATTTAGAAAATACATGTACAATGTCATTCCATCACACTTACTCACTATGAAAACGAACGGGACAACACTCGGATTCAATCACAGCACATTCACAGACTAAAATCACCATCGAAGCGGAGTGCTTTGAAATTTTGACAGGTGTCAATCTGTCAATTTTGTCGCTAAGTCTCGTTCTACGATATGTTCTACACTGATTGACACATAAATTTCTTTTTAATTTGCAACATCTAATATCAATAAAAAAGATTTTGATTCGGGATCTTTAACCGTTATATTAATAACTGATTATTTTAATTAATTTATATAAAAAGAGTATATTCACATGTCACTGGGTGTAAAAAATCTATATTCTCAGCATTCCATAACAAAATCATGCCTTTATATCACATGCCACTTAAACATAGATGGCGCTAGAGTCGCAGCTTTCTTTTAATCCTTTAGAAATTAATTTGGTATCGTACCGCAGTAATATTAGACTGATCGAAACAGTTATAATCGCTATGTATGTATGTAGTATAACAAAAACATATGAAAAAAGAAATATGAGGTCGCTAGAGGCAGAGTAGCCTAACTGCAATTTTATGACTTGAGTTATTTATAATTTCAATCTAAAATTGTTAATTTACAAGAGCACAATCACCGAAAACTGTTAACTCATTCGTTAATTACGCATTTTTATTTCCCTCCTTATTGAAAATCATGTTTGTCGTTATTAGGCCACTTTGCCTCTAGCAGCCGCATGTGTAGTTTAAGACAAAAATTAAAACGGTTTAACCCGATACCATAGAGCTACAACCCTGCGCCAGAGCCGAGTACTACGTCATGCGGTAGTATCGGCGTCTCGCTCGCACTATAGCTTGTGCGAAAGAGACGGCTTGTCTTTTCGTCCGCTGCCGGAGGTGTTGTGGACCGGCGCGGACCAATCGGCTACAACTGGAGCCGGGCGGTAGAACTTGCTCGATGTTCTGTTGAATATCGGCAGGAGTTCGTTCGCTTCGTTTGTTAGGGCCTGGAATAGAAAAAAATCGATATAAAAGAGAAAAAATATGTATTTAATAAAAAATGTCTACCTAATCAAACCAACTTAATGAAGCTAAAACAAGGTAACTTATGAAAATTAAGGATATAATACGGGCAACATTTTTTTGCCATACAAATTATTTCTAGTGCAGAAAAGAAGAGATTTATAATAAGATTCGTATTATATGAGTCAAACAGGCATGGAGCGCGGTGAACAAGGGAACAATGGAATAACCACAAAATTGCTATGCATTAAAAAGCAAAGAAGGTTTGGTGAGAAAAAGGTAAAAAATATTGACATCAGTATTTAGGAATTTTTTTAATGTTATGAATACATCCAACCAATTAATTTCATTTGTATGACTTTTTTGTACGTATGGCCTTCAAGCTTTTTTTATAATATGAGTAAAGCCGTTTTGGATTAAGGTATTTGTGTAGTGAAAGCATAGATAATGGAACTCTTTATTGCCAATAGACACTTGAAAATAACATATTCAAATAAAAATGTTTGTGCACTTGTCGCCTATGGCTATTTCTTACAGGCAACCTTTGCAGATAGAAAGTACATAATTACAGCAAATAGCAACAAGAAAAAAGAAAATATGTAATAAAATGAAAATTTAATACTAACACGACACTCACACCAAGAGAATCATAAATGTAATTCATTTTAGAGCCAGGGAGGCAAAGGCTAAATTAGATCGAAAATACCTTGAGATATATGACGGCGTCTGTACCGTAGCCCTCGCAAGACATCAGCAACAAGTCGCCGTGGAAATATCGCGCGTACAACCGAGATATGGGCAGACCGTAACCATAACCTGAATGTAAAAAAATAATGAAAAACAAACACTTTTAATGGATTAAAAGGCGAAACGAGCCGTAGTTATGATAAGTTAACATAAGAGGTGATCATAGAAATTTCTTAATCCGTCAATTTATTATAGACAACGGTCGACGTTTCGGATGTTTCACAGCAGCCATGCTCGCGGGGGAATAAGCTGCTACAAGGCAAATAAATCTATTTCGCGTTTTAAACCGTTAAATGTGTTTTATTGATATCCACTACCCGCGTAAGCACATATCAGCTTTACTTTTTATTGTGCGTGGGGTTGCTATCTATCCTCTTACACTTGATGAAAGGTGAAATATCATATTACAAGATGTGCTGTCGTCCTATTGTAGTATTCTACACTCACCTGCTAACGGTACATTGTGCGAGTCCGACTTGGATGGTTGCGGAGCTGTACTGTACATGTACTTGAACAGTAAGTCTGACACACTGCGCGGGATGCCACCACCACGGTCGGACATCTGTAAAATCATTGATTACATTTGTATTTAGCCTCACCTCCGCAGAATTCACGTGGTCAATAAAAATATACAAACTAGCTGTTTCAGCGACTTCGTCCGCTAAGAATACTAATACATTTATTCGTAAATTCGTTAAATAATTTTCCCAATTTTTGTTCACATTTCCCGCTGTATCTTGGCTTATATTAGTAACTAACTGGCTAATACATTATAGCCTATAGTCTTCCTCGATAAATGCTCTAACAAACACAAAATGAATTTTTCAATTGGAACCGTTAGTTCTTGAGATTAGCATGTTCAAACAAACAAACAAACTCTTCAGCTTTTTATTAGTATAGATTGATTTTATTTCCAAGTTATTTATGTGTTAATTTCTGTAAGTGTAAAATTAAGTATTTAACTTAATTAAGTTAAATACCTTGAGAGAAATATCCTCTCTCCCTTGGACGATGTTGAGGGTGACGGGGGGTGGAGAGCTCTCGTAACGCTCCATGACAGCTCGCATCGCGTTCTTGAACAGCTCGAACAGCATGTGGTACAAGTGCGACGGCACGTACACTATCGGTAGCGGCCTATCGCTCGGCACTAAAAAAATATATTTTACAATTGAGAACAAAGTAACCTCATGTAGCATTATTTTTTGGACTACGAGTACAGTAAGTACTTTTAAACATTATACTGTGAATTTGCATCCCATTTAAAATAAAACACTTTTAACGGATTAAAACGCGGCGTACATCTGCGTTTATATTGACAAACAAACATGATTTTAATTTAAAAATGTTGTTTGATTTCAAATAATTCAAAATTAATTCCCATTTGTAATGATGTAAATGTATTTTTATATTATTTATATTACACAGCTTTACATAGTCAGTTTGTTAGGCTGTTTTTAGCAGTATAATAGTAGCAATCTATGACTAATAACCAACGGGTCTTGGCTTCGATCCTTACCGGGTCCAAGATATTTCGAATTAATTTATAATTTCACTGAAACATGTTGGACATTGGTCTGAAAATTAGGTCATTAAATGAGTAGGAATATCTAAATTTAATCGGGTCACGGGTCCCCCCTACAGGAAAAACTTTTTTAACCATTTCGGCTTAGTCTGTTCTCTATGACAAAAAAAGTCTCCCGGGGGTTTTCCCCCTCCCCCCCCCTGACCCCCACCCGGTTGGTCCCAGCAGTGCCAGAGAAGGCTTAACTCACCACCATTCTGCAACAACTCAAGTTCCGGCGACGCGAGGTAATACCGATCGCAGAGGAACCTCGCGTTCTCGTACGCGTCCCTGACAACGGCCGCTACGTCACACGCGGGATCTATGGAGCCGATGTGTCGGCCGCCGTTGCCGATCCCGTTCACCGATTCCTGCTTGCCTATTTGCTCGCCGAAGAGTAGGGCTGAAATTATGATAAGAGGCATTTTTACTAAGACACTATAACTATAAATTAACAAAATTTGTCCAGATTTCCACACCGTCTTCTGCCACTGAATGACGTTACCAGGGATTCGAACCCAACCTCGCGTTTAACGCTTAGAAGAAAAAAAATCATGACCAATATAAAGTCTGTGTGTAAATGAGGGTGACAGAGTAAGAAAAAGTTACTGTAAGAAAGAGAGGATATTTTAGAGGGTAGTTGTGGATAAACATAATATATTTAAAACGAAAGAAAGAAATTAATAAAATAAATAATATATATAATAAACTACGGACACTCCGGTAAGAAATATTTTGGTACACCTGCAAGCCATAAATAAATATTATTTGTCTATTATACATTTTCAGAGGGCAATAATTTTTTCCATAGACAATATGTACAAAACGTCAGTTTGAGAATATTATGTAATATTGTGGAACATATTATGTCAAAAAAAAAATACCAAGGAAAAAACAATTAAAGTATTTATTATTAATAAATACAATTGAAATTCGATCGCCAATAATGCTTATCTTGTTATCTACTTGTCTACCGAACTGAAGACTTACTGTGTTGGTTGATCAGCATCCGTATCGAGATCCTGCTCATGTAGAAGCGGTCCAGGAAGTATTGTATCGAGTTCTCGACGCCAGGGTCCACCTCATGCGACTCCTTCAGTTCCAGAACACCTTGGGCCATCGTTTGGACGACATCCGCGTGCCTATTCCGTATGTGAATGAGGCGCTCGCAGAATCTGAAACATGGAGCATTAAGTCAAGTTAAATCTATAATTATATGGGGAGGTCACTATGGTTAGGATCTAGATTGAATCCTGGAAAGAATAATTTCGGTCTGGATAAAGAGTTGACATGGGGTGGATGTATCATCAAGCACCAATATGTACGGGGGGGGGGGGTTGTTTATTACACGATACATACATGAAAACCACGACTGCTGTAGAGCGTTTAAACAGTTGGTACTAAATTGCATTACTCTATAGGTTGTGTATTAAACCGTTAAAAGTGTTTTCTTTCAAATCTTATAATCTTTGCGCCTCGTGATAGATACACAGCGGAGCTTTATGTTTCCACTAGAGGCCCTAGAAAGGGATGGAGATACTTACTGGCTCAATACTGACTGGTCAGGATCGATCTTTTCGAATTCGATGATCTCTTCAAAGGACCTCTCATACCATTGGTTGACGAGGCCGACTGACGGCATCCGTAGTAAGTTGTCCGGGAGCAGCGCTATCTCTTTCATTATATTCGCTAATCTGGAATGCGAGAAAGAGATAGATTTAGTTTGATGACGTTCAGTAGTGTACCTAGTTACATTAATTAATTTTTGACTATGCCTTTGATGTATAGTTAGGCGTTTTCAGCTATTTTTGCCGTCTGATGCAATGTCTCAATAATAAAACATCAAAATAGATGTGCTAGCGGCCTATTTTCGCTCTGGGCCTGGCAACAGTTCTACATATTACGCAGTTATTATTTTAAATATTTTTAAGGTAAAAATATCCTACACTATGTATATGACGTCCCGTCTGTGCCAGCTTATGCAACCGACGACAGATTTTTCTAGGTTCACTTTGCCTAAGATGGTTATTCAGACATTTATAATAATAAATTCTCTATTCTGTTAGTTAGAGCATTTATCGAGGAAGGCTATAAGCTATAAAACACCGCGTTGTGACTAATAGACGCGAGGATACAGCGGGAAATGTGAACAAAACGGGGGAAATTTTTCATCTCTGTGGGTTTCAGATGCGTACACTGCGAAAACCGTTCAAGATACCTAAAAAATGTGTATGAAAGAATGATTTCTCTTTAAATGATCTAAAAAAAGACCCGGACGCTATATGTCTATCTTATAAGATTAACTTGCAAGAACGACGGGAAGGGACGCGAACGACGTCGTGGCTAACAACTTATGTTTATATTAGATTTGCAAAAAACTAATTTGGATGCCCAAATAAAATTAAGAATAACATAAAATTAACGCCTTATCTCCGTTCTAATATGAAAGAGGCATGGGAGGCAGAGGAATGGCGCATGGGACAGACTCGGTCTGTCTGATCTGTCTCTTCAACTGCCAGCCAAACTTTTTCGCTAAATGAAATAAAAGAACACATGGGAATAATAATAGATTAATTTTTAGTTAATATTCGGATCGAATAACGGAGAGCGTCGCTTGCGCATTGAGGTACTTAATTATCGTCGTATTATTGTAAACAATGACAGCATTTTATCAGCGGTCAGCGATAATTTGTAATTCAATATAGTTGTTTGTTCATTCAACTATTGTTTGATATTGTATATGTTTTAGTTCTACTTTCTAGTACTTAACTAGTTTATTTCAAACATTATTCTCTAATATTTTTGGGAAAGATACAGATGACTGACTGTCTAAGTAGCGCAAAGCAAAACAAAATATTAGTTTTTTTTAGTTGTACGTAATACCAATATCCACGCCGTCCTCTAATTTGCACACACTTGCAGTCGCTACTTCAAAAAAAGATTTCGAACACTACTTTGGTGATCCAGGCGGTCACTACACCATTATGCCCGTCCTCCAGGTCCTCAACCTCCCAACAACAATGTGGTGGTTCAAGCCAAAGCCAATGAAACCCCTCCACAACTCTTTGTGGCCCCGGACCAACATACGAATTAATCATTTAAAAAAGCCCTAGTTTTAGTAGCCATAAGAATCTGAAAATTGATCTTTTCCCGATATAAGTCCTAAAAGAGTATGAGAGTATACATATAGAGAGGGGCTGAAGATTTATGGGACAAAACAGAAACTTGTCGCCCTGTCTGTATGTATGTTTGAAGGGCCAGTAAGAAATACAATTATGAAAACACGATATTGTCATTCGACACTTGTTTGTTTGTTGCGCAGTTCGCCAAGGCCGCTTGTGGTAGGGCTCTAAGGTAGCAAATGACGTCATCAGCTATAAAACAGTCTGGTTAAATGTCGATAGCAACGTACGTCTAAAAATCAACAAGTCGTGGATTCTATGTTCGAAGTGTTTGAACGTGCTTATTCCCAAAATTACTAGTTCGAATTGAAAAATATTTTTGTGTTGGTTAGAGCTACTGTTGCGATAGGATTTAGGCTGTAAAACATCACGCTGCGACTAATAGGAGCGAAGAAACAGTAGGAAATATGAAAAATACGAGCAAAATTACACTTTAAGGATTACCGTTATATCCAAATACAGTGCAAGACATCAAAAAAATATGTGGGAAATAATGATTCCTCTTTCATTTAAAATGTAATAATTCTTTCCTATAATGTGGACCTAAAAAATAGTCCGCCACAATATGTGTATCTTTTAAGATTAACTTGCAAGAATGACGCGACGCGACCGATGTCGTCGGTAACAGCTTTAATTTATAAAATGCAACAACAAAATTTGCAGCCCAAAATAACTATTCTACGCGGACAAAGTCGCTGGCACAGCTAGTAGTAAAATGTGTTCCCCTTCCAGCAACTCGGTCAACACACAACCTTGGCCGTGCCCAGCTTCAACGAACATACGTAACTCAATTCTTTAATGAAGTTTAATGATTATGCAACGATGACGTCACGAACCCGCGATGCACCGCGATTTCCACGGCCGGATGTCACCCATCTTCCTATATGGCGGCGTTATAATTAGATAGTGTATGACAATTTATATCTATTCTTATGACATAAGACAGATAAGCAGGGGGCTTGATGGAATGTCAAACGCCCATGCAGGTGTGCTATCGGACACTAAATTGTTTTAAACTTTACGGTTACATCTGTGGACGGTGCTTCGTGACCCGGACGGTATTTTAATATTTCTATCACCTTTATATTAAAGGTGAGTCCAATATGATTAAAAGATTACGGTATTTTCCACTGTGAACGGAATTTTGATAAATTTAATGTCCATGTATTTATTATCATTTATTTTAATGCCCAGTTAATGCCCATAATGAGATGTTCAGCCGACATCTAATCTTCGTAAAATATATAATAATTTTGAGAAACAAAAATTGAACCCACGCTTTCTTTGGTGAATAAATCGGCATTGTCTTGTACTAGACTAGATAAGGGGCAGATTATTCTCATTGTGGTTATGTGATATAAAACCGGCTAAGTGTGAAACTAACTAACTAAAACTGTGGTCAGTGGTTAGGGACCCGGAAGTACTTTTGATATTCAAGCTCTCTAAAATAAAATGCTCTAACCAAGACATGGAAATTTTTTTGAATTCGAACCAGTAGCTCCTAAGATGAGCAGGTTCAAACAAACAAACAAACTCTTCAACTTTAAATATTAGTAGTGATTTCATTGTTTATCTTTAATAGCTATCGCATTTCTTGCGGAACAGCCAGGCCTCGTTTTACCCGTGGGGTATGAAAGCCAAAAACCTACTAGTGAGTTCTTTTAGTTGAAATAAGGTCAAACTCACTTCTGGTAAGTGCTTGAACTTACCGGTGTAAGTAAGTATATCGATTGTCTATGCTCAATGCTACTCCATCCAGTACAAACAGGAACCCTAATGCGATTAATAACGATTATCGGCTTATATGATGGATAGCAAGGTCAGGGTCTGACCGACCTTCGAGAACTTATAATTTTGTTGTCACACTGTCTTGTCATAAGTGCATATTGTCATCATCGACAGCAGTTAAAGGTTATTTACAAGACGTCATGAAATGCGCACCTGGTACAAATTAAATTAAACGGTTGCAAACCCCACAAATATTATACATCTCGGTTTTAGTTAAATCGTTTTTTTTATTATACTTATGTTTTTAAAGGACAAACATATAAGTAATGGAATATTTAAAACAACGCTCTATGCAAGAGATTGTTAGAACGCGCAAATTTTTGTAACTACTTTTTGAATTGAAAAAATATTTTTGTGTTGGTTAAACAATATATGTACTTATATAGAGGAAGGCATCAAAATAAACATATTAAACACCCCGAGTCTGCGACAAATATGATCAAAGAAACAGAGAAAGTGTGGAAACAGAGGGGGAAAATTCATCTTTGAGGGCTTCCCTTGGATGCGCGAAAACGATCTTCTAAAATTAACTTGCAATTACGACGGGGCGCGGACGACGGTAACAGCTTTATAAAGCTGTGGTGATTACAAAAATAAATCATATGAAGCCCAAAACAACTAAGTATTCCCCGTAGACGAAGTCGCGGGCACAACTAGCTATGAAACTACTTAATCATAAAGCTTACCGCACTGGTAATTCCTTTCTCAGGAATAAATAGGATTTTCTCTCGCAAGCATTAAGACCTGTAATAGAAATGAAAAATAATTAAAACCTGAATGTCGGCAGAATGAAATAAAATGTGCATATGAAAGATATGAATTAAAAGCAGACGTTTTTAATTTTACCAAGTTTTAGGGTTGCAAAACTAATTTAAAAACATGGAACTCGGGGCTAATTCAGCCATTTTGACGAGCGCGTTGTTCTAAAGGTTTTCCTACCTAAAGCATGGAGCAATGGGTTCGGCCCCATCAGTTCACAACGTTTCATATCAATTTATAATTTTTATGAAACACGTTGGACTTCGTTCGAAAATCTGGACATTAAAGGGTAAAACACTTACGGTTTAAAAGCGAAATTTTTTACGGCCGCCCAAAAAACCCAAAGCGGGGGTAAAAAAAAATTTTTAAATGGGTAGTAGAAATATCGACCGTTCACACCACCGTTCACAGTTGAAAAAGTTTAATCGAGTTTCAGTATCAGTCTGTCAAATTTTCGAATCATGCTACCATAAACACCTCACGACCCATGAAAAGGAGTTAATTGTGTCAGTTCCTCTCGGTCTTTCTACGTGATTATTTAAAATTCTTAAATGAAGAGTTCTTCTGCAGTGCAGTATGCCTGCAGGCTCCTTTTCAACGGATTCAATCCTTAATCGACAAGATTACCCCGCTGCTGGCATTTTGACTAAAACCGTAAAGCAAAATTACTAAATTATATAACTATTTCATTTATCTAAACCGCTCTGTAGCTAAATGGTTAAACGCACTGCGCTAAGCGTAAGAGGTCCTGGGTTCGGACCCCGGTATATCAAACAATTGGTTTAGTTAGACAGAGCACTGAATTCTGATTGCCGGTGAATAAAACCCATCAATGAAACGGACGCAGATATGTGTTCGCCCCATACCCCACGATGCGGAAACAGGATTTCATCCATTTCAAAGAATAACGGTATATGTATACGTGACACGGTAGCATAAATGTTTAGAGCAGAAGCACGGAACGCTATGAATCCCGGTTCGAGTCCCGCCCGTGTCGTAAATTTTTCTCAAAAAGTTTAATAAGATAGTAATTGAAGTTATTCGCTTCACAGAATATAAACGAGGGTTAATTCTCCCACAGATTAAATATTTTCGCCCATCGACAATTCCCAATTTTTCAAACCAATGATCCAATACAATAAATTCTATTCCAAGATTGTTTTCTACAATCAAAATTGGTAATTACACGATACGACGAACAATTGCGTTTCGCATGAATAAGACACCTTTTGACATATTGCCCTATTTACAACAATTCTATTGTTATTTAACACAGTAATAGTTGTAGTTTAATTACAAATGAGTTTAATATATTGATTGATGAAGAACCCACATAACTACACATTTAAATAAAACACTTTAACGGTTTAAAACGCGATATATTAGATAAGCTTATTTGAAAATGATTTTGGAAATGGTCTCCCCGTGACCACGGCTGCTGCAAAGCATCCGAAAACATCGGGCCGAAGTTAAAAATCATTTTCAAATAATTTTAACTAATATATCGCGTTTTAAACCGTTTTATTTAAACCCACATAAGTCTTATGTAATATTTTATATTCAATATGTATCAATAGGTTGAGAAATTGAAAAACTGACAAGGTAGTTCAATTAGTTAGAGCAACAGCACGGAACGCTGTGGACGCCGGTTCAAATTCGGCCCGTATCGTAATTTTTTTTCGATCTAAATAAAATTTACATCCTTTTTTTATTTTTAATGCAATTCAAGGGCAAACCCCTTTAATACGAGGTATCTTTCAAGTCAATAGAATCTTATTTTAAAAACTCATGTCATGTCGCAGTTATAACAATACGTATAACCTAAAAAAATATTTTATAATAAACGCTAGAGATCGCTATATTTCTTTTAAATTAAAACAATTTTGACGGTTTCAAACGCTAAATATATTAGTTAACTGGTTCACAATTAAGTTTTTTAAACTGTAGTGTTTTTAATGAAATGTGTACTACTCGCGTAAACTACCTCCATTATTTTCACTCTTGTCGTAGATAAATATACTAGTTCAGTAAGTTGGACTTTGGACCATAATAGTATTTATAAACAACGTTGACCTTGTGTCGTTTTGCGAATGTGAGAACGAAAGCGACGTGAACATTGGACTGACACGTGGGATTTAGACAGCCTACATAAAAAAAAAACGTTTGATTAGAAGTTGCCCCAAACACGTAGTCTACACTAATATATAAAGCTGAAGAGAGTGCTTATTTGAACGTGATAAACTCAGGCACTACTAGTTCGTATTGTAAAATTTGTTTGTATTGGTCGAGGGGTGCTATAGGCTATAAAACATCGCGCTGTAACTAATAGCCAATAGGAGCAAAGATACAACGGGAAATGTAAAAGATACGAGGGAAATTATTTTACTTCGAGGGTTTCCCTTGCGTGCGCTGCGAAAGCGGTTCAAGATACCCAAAATGCATGTAGCACGAAATAATTATTTCCCTTAAAATGATTTACATAAATATCGCAGTATATGTATATCTATTTTTTAAGATAAACTTGCAAGAACGGGACGCGACTTAAATTCATAAAGAGTAAATTATTGTAATTTTAAATGCCTTACCTACTATGCTGTTTATAATAACTTGTCTACTTAGTAATTCTATTTTATATTCTACTGTGAACAACTTTTTAAACTATTAATTAAAAGATCTTAGTCCCGGAGTTTATCATTCAAAAGAAAATAGACATTATCGTCATTCGAAGTATTCACAAAGAACAAAAATCTCCCAATGTCATTGACATTGCGCCAAAACACAAAGAGGTTTACCCACTGTGCGTTTATCTCGGAATCGGTTATATATTCATAAAATCTTCTTCCTGAAGTCGTACAGATCAAAATTAAGAAATAAAAAAATATGTGAGATAAACATGTCATGAGATTTATTGTTATCGGTTTAAAACTCTATATTAATCAGGGCCACTACTCTTGGAAAGCATCCTAACATAGGACTAGTATTAAAACATTAAACAAATATGTTCCGCGTTTTAAAAAGTGGAATAAATATGTGTTTAAAATCCCAATTTTACCATCGTGTTATGTGCCGGCCCTAAGCTGCACTCCATTAGGCGACAGCCCTAAGCTGTGCCACTACGGGGAAACTGCTGATTGTGCGCGTATTCGATACCCGTGCGATCGGTATGTGACGCTACTGTTGCCGTACCCATTTTAGCATAAGATATTAATAAATATAATTGTAAGCGTCGAACTGATGCATCGTGCACAGGGAGACAAGTAGTATTAATTAAATGTAATATTTTTAATTAAATTAATTAATAAGTAAATGAGTTTTTTTGCAACCACCGGTGGCGACTAACATAATTGGCGCAGTCGGTAGGATACTCGGGTCGTCGTAAATCGCGGGAAATTTTTCGGAAACCTAACTTTGGACCGTGACCTGCGAGGCTGACCGTTTCTCTTAAGAAACAATTGCGAGTATCTTAGAACCAAGGAGCCCCGGCGTATCCAAACTTCGATACCGGTCGCAGAATGCTCATGTAAGTACACACAAAATTATCTATTGTGTTGCTTCCTTTATTTTATAAGTCCTTTTCACGATTTTCCATCCACGGAAATCTCGGGGGTCATCCCTTGATCCTAAGGGAACCCGCCAACAATCCTCTCGATTTCGGCAAATTGATAGCCTACGAGATTTAGATAATTTGAGGAATAATTGCGATTCCGATAATTGTAGTGATTTTAGTTTTAATTATATTTTAAACATGACCTCGGAGCAGGATATTATTTTTAAATCCTTAAGGTTTGTGCCGGATTTCGACGGCAACCCACATGTATTGACTAGATTTATAAAAATTTGTGACGAATTAGTTAGGCAGTTTATGCGTGATGATCCGCAAGCATCCTTATCAAACATTTCATTAATTAATGGAATTCTTAATAAGATTACAGGACATGCAGGACGTTTAATAAATTCAAATGGTATTCCCGATTCGTGGCAAGGAATTAGGGACTCTTTAATAAATAATTTTTCCGATCAACGAGACGAAACCGCGTTGTATAACGATATCGCGTGTCTAACTCAAGGACAAAACTCTCCTCAAGAGTTTTATGACAAATGCAATAACTTATTTAGTACAATAATGACCTATGTTTCGCTTCACGAAACTATAGAAACAACTATTGACGCGAAAAGACAATTATATAGAAAATTAACACTGCAAGCGTTTATTCGTGGTCTTAAGGAACCACTAGGGTCACGCATACGTTGCATGCGCCCTGAAACAATAGAGAAGGCCTTAGAGTTTGTACAAGAAGAATTAAACGTTATCTATTTGCAAAATCGTAACGATGCTCTACCTAAATTTCACCACACATTAAAACCGCAATCTTCAGTTCAAACGACACACACACCACAACCTTTACTATATAATGTGAATAAGCACAATTTACCTTTTCCGAGAATAAATACACCTTATACATTCCCACAGTTTAAATCAAGTCAACCTAATCATTTTATGCCTAGATTCCCTACACGTACACAACAAGTTTTTCGTGCTCCTCCACCTAATTATAATCCTAACAGTAATTTATTCCGTTTACCTCCACGTAACCAGGTAGCCCAAAAACAGGGACCTACTCCAATGAGCGGTGTAAGTCATTACGTTACTAAGGAGTTACCTTTGACTGGACATGATTGGCGTAAGCACGGCAATCCACCTCCTACAAACTATTTTAAAAGTAGAGATTTAAATGTCAACGAATGTGTCGAACCCGATTATTACGATTATTATGACCAATACAACCCGACCGTAGAATATCCTGACTATTATTACTTTGACCCTGACTATAATTCGTATTATAACTGTGAAGAAATAGAACAATCGAATGAAATTCCTGACAGTGACGAATGTGCTCAAGTGACTGAAACTGAAAATTTTCCGAAAGGCAAGAATTCAGAAAAGCCAAAATAGAAATTAACATACAGACACAAAGACAATTACCTTACATTCAAATTAGTAATCCACCTCTTAAATTTTTAATTGATACAGGTGCTAATCAATCTTTTATCAGCCCTGAAGTAGTGCAACGATTTTATTCTCATATACCTTGTAATTATGATCCGATTGAAGTGACGAATATACACGCGACTACAAGAAGTAACTATTCTATTACATTACCTTGTTTCCCGGAATTTAACGAGAACATAGACATAACTTTATTCGTATACAAATTCCATAATTATTTC